ACGCCATTTCACACCAGAGTTGTGAAATTTCACACCACTGGCGTGAAATGGAGTGAAATTTCACACCACTGGCGTGAAACTGGCGTGAAATGGCGTGAAATTTCACACCACTGACGTGAAATAGCATACATTTTTCACGCCAATATAAAAAAAAATTAAAATACATTTAGTGATTTTTTTTACGACCAGAAAGCCTTTCATTTAATTTTCCATTAACCATTAAGGTTTGAAAATAAACTTTTTTAATTTAAATAAGTAAACCTAAGATAGTTTTATAGACAGTTTAATGGTCTTCTTGTCTTTTTATATGACTAGTTATAATTTTCATGTGCCACCAAGTCCTTATCCTTCAAAATTCGAATTTTCAACATACTGTTGGTTTTTTAAATCTTCGTAATAATTTTCTTTTAAAATCCTACAAAACTTGTCTTCGTTAGTTAAAATTAAAATAGTTAAATTGATGGTTTTTTGATAAACATTTTTCATAACGGTCAAATTTAAAAATTTTTCTCAGGTTTGTTTACATTGACAAGTTATTCTGTGATTTAAAAGATCACCTACAACTCATTAGCTACACACAATTGTGAGCTTTAAACATTTAAGCTGCATTACAATGCTCAAAAGTAAGTATTGTTTTTGTTTAATCGTGTTTTTAAACATAAACAAACAATTTTTTTAAAAAAAATCATTAAATTTTGATAAAATAAGCTGATTTTTTACAATTCTAACACTCAGATGTGAACTACAAAAGATTGGGTAAAAGTTTAAGACTAATGAGTTTAGTGTTTATGAATATTGATTTTAGCTCTCTAGAAGTTCTCGAGAAAATCAATAGAATTCAAATTCTTCATGATATTGCGTTTGATTTGCGAGAAAACTTTGTTTTGCCTGAGAACGAAAAGATCAAATCTGATAGTTTGATTTCGAATGATGTTCCTGTATACTATCCATCAATTGAAGAATGCAAGACTGTTTTAGGAGTGTTTTGTATTTTCCCGAAAAGCAAAATAACGAATAACCGTTATTACGAATTACAAATTTACGAATGTTCATTTTTACGAAAATTTTTATGGTAAAAACTTATAGGATATAATTTGAATCTCAAAAAACCGTTGGTTAAATCAAACATTAAAAGACAATTTACATCAATTTCATCATTTAAATGCGAATAGATATGATATAATAATTATTATAAGATGAAGGATTAATAGAACTACAAAAAGAATTGCATTTATTTAAATGTGTAATATTTTTTCTTGTTTTATGGGTAATTCCATGAGAAAATTTTATAGCAAAATAAAATTTTTATAGAAAAAATATTTCACATTTAAATAAATACAAATCTTTTTTTCAGTTCTATTAATCCTTCATCTTTTAATAATTATTTTATCATATCTAATCGCATTTAAATGATTAAATTACTTTTAACTGTCTCAATATTTGATTTTATCCAACGGTTTTTTGAGATTCAAATTATATCCTATACGTTTTTACCAGAGATCGAAGCCGATTTTTTCGGCTTAACTCAATTTTTGATTTTTTTGATAGAAAAAGCCATTAAACACCCATTTCAAGTATTTAAATTGAACTTTACATGCTTTACTATGATTCTGTGAAATATTTTTTCAGCATGTAGCTATAGTGAGCTCAGAATTTCAAGTTAAAGAATGTTAAGCCGAAATTTAAGCCGATCGGCTTAAAATCGGCTAAATTATAGTAAAATAGTAAAGCATGTAATGTTCAATTTAAATACTTAAAATGGGTGGTAAATGGCTTTTTTCTATCAAAAAAATCAAAAATTGTGTTAAGCCGAAAAAATTGGCTTCGATCTCTGGTTTTTACCATAAAAATTTTCGTAAAAATGAACATTCGTAAATTTGAAAATTCGTAAAAATTGTTTTTCGTTATTTTGCTTTTCGGGAAAATACAAAACACTCCTGTTTTAGATAAAGCTTCCAAAGATGCTGAACAAATGTGATTTGTTAGGAACTTCAATTACTCAAAGGTTCCTTAGTTTACTTAAAAAAAAATTAAAACATTATAATAATTTTAAATAAATTTAAAAGTAGGGTAAATGACCTTGAAATTTGCGCAAATTCACACAAGAAAATTTCATTTGCTTCAAGCTCTTCGGAGGATTGAAATTGAGCCCTACTAATGATCTTGAAATGCAGGGAATCATTGATATTTTTGTTTTTCTATGGATATAGGAAGCTCTGCTGTGTCAATGCCAAGAAATTTGACTTTCAAGTTTGAACTTTGAAATTTGCGCAGAAAACTTTGAAATTTGCGCAAAAAAACCTTGAAATTTGCGCACTTTTTTGACAGCAATATTGAAACTTGGAAAAAATATTGTTGAAAACATATCCAATTTTAAAATACATTAATCAAAATATAAGGGAAATGATGATGTTTATTACCAAATTATACGATTAGATTTAGTTTCGTGAAAATCCGTGAAAGCTTAATGTTCAACAGGACAATCTTAGATGTATTAGGAGTAAATTCCAGCGTGGAAAAAAAACACTAGATAAATGTTTTCAAAATAGTTCAAAAGCACATAATAAATTCAAAAAGGAACAAGCAAAATGATGTATCCATAGTAATTCAATTTTAAAATTTAGTATAAAGTCTTAAAACTATCTTCATTTTATTGCCTTTTTTGGCCGACCACGTTTCCTGATTACTTGAGTTGATGCTTCATGTTTTTCCTTTTTAATATTCATAATTTTGTCACGCAATTCTTTCTTTTTTTCTCGGTCAATTCATTTTTGAGCTTTCATATCCTTTAATTTTTGAGCAGTTTCCTTCAAATCTTCTGTAGTTTTTGGATCGCCTTATTTGGCTGAATCTATACACCACTTTGCAATTTTGACTTCTTCTTCAGTTGTAAGAACCTTTATTTTTCACTGCGCAAATTTCAAAATTTTTCATAAAATCTGCGCAAATTTCAAGGTTCAAAAACAAGCCATTTTAAAAATGAATTTTAAAGCAGTTCCAGGTATCATTTTGAATTGGAACCATTTGAAAAATGTTAAGCAATGTCAGATCTACATTTTCTAATACCAAAATTTAATCTATACCAATGCATGCATCTCAAAATCAAAATGTAAAGAAATTTAAGTTTTGTATGGGAGTTTTTGGTAATAAATTATTAAGCTTTCTAGTGCCTTAAGACCACTAAAAATTATGAAAAAACATCTGTGCTTGTGTTCTTCAGACATTTCCCATTGATCGTCTGAATAGAAGTGCAATTTTCAGATATAATTTTAAAATTTTCGTTTTCATACGAGTGCGCAAATTTCAAGGTTGCGCAAATTTCAAAGTCATTTACCCTATGTAAACTTCTATAAAATATTAAAAAAAAAGACTGTTAATTATTTTTTTTTCGGTTAAAATTTTCACGACATTGGCGTGAAATTTCACACCACTGGCGTGAAATTGGCGTGAAATGACGTGAAATTTCACACCATTGGCGTGAAATGGTGTGAAATTTCACGTCATTTTTGTGAAATTTTTGGCGTACACGTTTCACACCAAGTTATTTTCCCCCTGCTTTTTTAATGATTTATGAAAAATTATGAACTTTCAGGGGGGAGGGGGGGGGGGGTGTAAGTTGTAACATTTTGTAACAAGAGGGGGAGGGGGGGGTGAAAAAAATCGTTTTTTTGCGTAACGTAATAATTTAATACCAAACAATAAGATTTTGAGTAGGAATTTAGTGAATCTGGATGGAAACTAAAAAAAAAAACATCTCATGTGAATCGATAACCTACAACCATTCCAAAGCTCAACAGATCACAATATAAACAAAAATTTAATTAATATACTTTTCTTTGTCAACAAAAATTTAGAGCTCGAAGTCGATAGAGTTTGAGTTGACTCGAGCCAACGAAAGAAAAAGCAAAGAGTACAGAAGAATTCACTAAATGCATGTCAATTACTGTAAAATGATACATGACACGGAGAAAAAGTGTAATTCGGGATTTAGTTGTGGATAGACACATTACAGATTACACAGAAAGATAGGATGTTGAGAAATGCATAGCATATAAATTTGTATCTACTTTACTTGATGTCGTTACACCCTCAACATTTCAATACAATGTCTAGATGAATAGAGGAGCGTGCATCGACGTCACTAGTAGGAAATTATCTTTAGCAAAATGTTTTATTCTTATCGTCGACGAGATGTATTTTGTGTTGAGAAGATCGTTCTACAAAGTGCTGTGAAAGTGCTTTGAGTTGTAAAAAAACGAGGGTTGAAAAAAAAGTGAAGCCAGAACAGAACTTGTAATGAAATATACACATACGTGTGATATATTCTATTTTACCTTCATGTGATGTTTGTTTATCCTACTCATAGTCAATAAAAATGAGTGAGGGAGAAAAAAACACAGACACGTATTCGAAACCTGACCTGCATTACAAATGGAACTGATGCCAGGCATACCGCATTCCTATTGTGAATTTTCACACCAATGTCATTCGAAAAGTATTTTTATATTCACACCGTTTTCACGTGTGAATGTTTTGTTTTTGTTCTGATTGAAAAATCAGTTTTTTGGATTTTGTGAGTTAACGAAGCATTTTAGCTATAAATGTATAAGTAAGAAAAGTTTGTGCCTGAAATTTTACATCTTATGCAAAAAACAGATTTCAAATTAGTTGCGGCGTTGCTGAGAAAATCGAAAAATACGCTTTCTGAAAGCAAGCAAGCAAGTTAATCGGCAGAAAATCTCAATAACGAGACATCGTAGAGACTTCTAGTTTTTTACATTTGATCCGTGCTGCTCTATAGAAGAGCTGTATTGTTTTTGGACAAGGTAGAACAGCCGTTGCTTCAGAAAGAGGCCGTTGTGACCTGAGGATTAGAATGCTCATACAAAGTTTTACTGTATTTGGATTTATCCTCGAAGAAAAAAAAGTGAAAAACTAGATTTTGACTAGACCTGTCCCAAGTTCATAATTGAAAATGTATTTCCTACTTGGTTCTTTGCTCAAAAAAATTTTAAGATGTTTTATATGAATTGACATAATTCTGACATAAATCACATACCAATATTACTTTTTGTAATGCATAGCTTAAAAAAATCGAAATCTAAAATTTCGACTGCCCCATCTGAATTTTGTACATACTCTTCACTGTGGAAACCAAAAAACAAATTCTTTATCTTAAAACACTTGACAAAATAGCGACATAATTCAGGATTAATTACTTTTTTAATAATATTTTAACATTTTCAAAATGTGGTTCAAATAAGTGTGAAGTATGGCCGAGATTTGAACCAAAATCAGCTATAATGGTTCATAGTGTTCCCGAGGGTGACAAACTTCAAACTAAGTGTTTTTGTAGCTGACATAATTATAACATAAATTAGGTATAACTTTTGAACTGTGTCGATATGGGTCTCGGCCTTACTTCATGCCCACCTTCAAACTTATGCTGAGCAAATCTTGGTCTATCCATAAGACTTTTGATGGTACGGTGTGAATATATCCGCATTGGGTTTCTACCCGATGCACTAGTTTTTAAAGGAAACAAAAAACATATTTAGCTACTTACACAATATAATGCTTCCTGTGTTCATCATGCTTCTTAATGTATGATGAATATATCATGACAGAATGATGAGCATTTTGCTTCTCGAGTCATTTGTATTCCAATCACATTGATGAAAATAACGAATTTTAAATGCTTTAATAGCTTCTTTTAGAGTTTCTTTTAATCTCTAAAATGATCTTGTGCTTAATTTATTAGTTGAACTTCATTCAATAACAGATATTTTCATGCTACAACGTTACTTTCAATTTTGAAGCAATTACGAATGTCCTTTTCGAAATTTTACTCCATCTAAGAGTTTTTCAAAGAACTATTATCAAAGACTCAAATAAAGTTTAAATCCTTGAAAGGATCAAGGATTAGTATCGACACATTTTTAGCATAAATTTTTCTATCGGTAATGCAGTTTTATTTGTATTTTTAGTAATAAGCATGTTAAGGTGTACAAGTGCAAAAGAAATGTTTTATTGCATATAAAGAACTCCTCCACCAAATTTTAATGCTTCAATTTAGTTTATAATCTTCATATTTGTTTCCAGACAAAAGGAAAATTTTATCAGGACTAAGAGGAACTTCAAATGTATACCAATCTGAATCTTTAAAACCATTATCTCTTCTTGATGCATCGATTGCGTACCTTATAGCAAAGTTGACACCAACAGCAAGTGTATTGGGAGGCTCAGAACAAGCTGTAAAATTAAAGTGATAATTAATAAGCAAAACTTCAATTCATTAACCTTTACCTTTTGATCTTAAAACGAAGAATGGATTTGGGGACTTTTGAAGAAGCTTAATGCGGAAATCAATTGGAATATCTTGTGCCCCAGGAGGTTTATAGTTAAATGAACGATTTGTAAGCAATTCAGCAGTTGCCTTGTCATAAACGCAATTTTCTGTAAGCCAAATACCCAAACCAGAAACGAAACCTCCTTCAATTTGACCGATGTCGATTCCTGGACTCATACTTTCTCCTGTATCTTGCAGTATATCAACTCGCTTTAAAAGTAAATTTCCAGTAAGGAAATCCACTTCGACTTCGGTACAACTTGCAGCATGCATGAAATATGGTGTCATATCTTGATCTTTGTACATAAATGTAGCCGATAAATCGACATTTTCCAGAAAAGCAATCTCAACAATTTCTTCCCATGTAGCGTTAGGATTCTCCTCTTTAATAGGTTTTAATCTTTCAACAAGCATTTCACAAGCATTTTTAACAACAAAACAAGCTATTTCAGCTGTAACAGAAGCAACCGTTCCAACGTCATTAGCATTATTTAGGGTATTTGATGGTTTGATGACAAATTTATCCATTGGAAGATCAAGGATATGCGATGCAACTTGAACAATTTTTGTATTTAATCCTTGACCAATTTCAACTCCGCCAGTAGATATTGCGATTGATGAATCTCCATGATAAATAGAGACAATTCCGTGCATTGTTCCAGTACAAAATATGTAAAATCTTAAAGGTACAACAGCAATACCACGTTTAACCCAGCGATTCTCACGGTTGAATAAGTCAATTTCTGATTTTCTTTTCCTATAATCTTAAATGAAATGCCGATAAAAAGGTGGAAAAAAATCGTCTATTTATTGAAACTTACCAACAGAAGCTATAAATTCAGGCATCATTGTTTTAAAGACACTATCGTCAGTCAAATTCTCTATTCTTACATCTACAGGATCTCTTCCTACAATTCTTGCCATATGTTCCATAACGGTTTCAGTCATGGCAATTGCTTCTGTTATACCTGGAGCTCGCATCCATGTATTTGATGCTGAATGTGATAATGCACTTTGTGTAGTTACTTCCCAGCTTTCAATATTGTAGCAGTTTTTAATGTAAACGGAAGTATTGAATTGAACTGTAACGGATTTTATTAAATCTGTGGTTCAGGTTTTTCTAGTTTAACTACAAAAACTTACCTGGCTCATTTAAACAACATCCTTGATCTTGGATATAATGCTGATATAACTTTTGGATCTTTCCTTTGTCATTAAACTCGACATCATAGTCACTAATAGCAGAAAATCGTTTTCCAATAGCTTGCATATTATCTTCCATAGTCATAATCAAACGAACAGGTCTTCTAAGCAAATGACACCCTAATGCAGCCGCACAAGCAATCTACAAGGAATTTTTTATGAATTGCATGTCAAAAAGTCTGTCTAATTTGATGTACCTGTGCATGTCTAGTAATTTTTCCACCAAATGCACCACCAACTCGACGAACATAAAAGTTTAATCGATGTTGTGGAACTTTAAGACACTGAGAAACAGCAATTTGTGCAGTATCTATCCATTGTGATGAGGAATAAACATCCATGCCATCTTCACTGGGGACACAAACGCATTGCTGAGTTTCCATATAATGATGATATTGAGTTGAACCCATATCAAAATGACCTTTAATATTATGTTTTACATCGCTTCCACTCGTTTCTCTCTTGATATAATATTTTGGGATATCATGTAAGCGATCATTTGCTTTTGCATAATAAACATCTCGAACAGTTGGGTAAATTGGTTCATCTGGAAATCAAAATATGATTAGTTCAAAAAAATAATCTCAACAAAGGATTAATACCTTCTTTTTCAAATCTGTACTCGACTTTGACTAAGTTTCTAGCTTGGTAAGCTAATTCAAAAGTTTCAGCCATTAAAACACCTACAGGTTGACCATGGTAGAGTAACTTTCCGGAACAAAAGATTTCCTCAACATGCTTATTAAATTCATTGAAACATTCAGGCATAAAATTATTAATTCCGGGAATATCTTTTGCAGAATACACTGCAACAACTCCTTTCAATTTTAATGCTTCAGAAGCATCTAAATTTTGAACTATTCCATTTACTTTGTCACCCAATATAAAAGCAGCAAACAACTCATTATGCTGCCGTGGTAAATCATTAACATATTGAGCTTCTCCTGTACACTGAATGCCTCCATCTACTTTGGGTATGCGCTTGTATAATTTTGACCTGCTTTCAACATACTCAAATTCTTGAGTGCCAGTTGAAATTTCTCTTTTTAAAATTTCTGATCCTTTAATAAATTTCTGATCGACAATTTCTTTCGGTGCTGTATTAAGAACAAACTTATAAAACAAAGAAACTGCTAAATTTTTACGATATTCATCGGATGCTGGTGGAAGTTTTGCATCTGGTTGGATTTCTGATATTAATTTACTGCAAGCTTGTTGCAAGACCTCATTATGATATATATTCTTGCCTACTAAAAACTTTTCAGTTTTCTCTGCATGAACAAGATCAGAGCTTATTCCTCCAAAACAAATATTAGCTTTCAAAATAGAATCTTTTTCATTATTGAATCTTATCAAAAATGCAGCAATGACATATGAATAAGAATTTTGAGCTCTTGGCATTATTTTGTAGGATCGGAACACAAAAGATTCATCCAATGCAGGAAAGATAATTTTTCCAATTACTTTTCTTCTCATACTTAAATTTATGAAGTCAGATGGAAGCAGTGGTGTACACTCATTCTCAGCTCCAGTTACTGTTAATATATTTTAAATATTACCAGATTATTAAGATCAGAATCAAATAAAATCACAAGGGTCAGACACTCCAACAGAATTGTAAAGATTTTACAATTCTTCACAATCCATATGGAAGAATTGTAAAGATTGTACAATCCTTACAATCCTTCAATCTTTATATGAGAAGGATTGTAGAGATTGTAATCCGTACAATCCTTATATGGAAAGGATATAAAGATTGTAAGGATGAAATAAATGTATGGAACATTTAAAAATGTTTTTCATTGGTTATTAGAGAAGATATATTAATTTAATATTAAAAATTTATTTATTTGAATTTAAAGAACGAAATAAGCTTGATATATCAATTCTGTCCGTTGTAAAACTACGCAGATGGTTACCCTAAACCAGGGTGATTTAAATCAAAAATCAAATTCAAAATCTTTTTGCAATGATTTTAAAAAAAGGATTTTGATTATAATCATTTTTCAAAGGGATTGTTTTTTGGATTTTGATTTAAATCTCTTGTATGAAAGATTTTATTGGGATTTTAAAATCCCTCCATGTAAGATTTTTGTTTTCAATTTCTCAAATTATTTTTCAAATCAACAGTTTTCAGTTGCAGTTCCTAATAAGTAAGAATGCAGTCGATCCTTTTTTGGCCTGAATCTTGCAACTGGATCTTTTAGATCCAAATATTTCTTAATTAATGGTTACAGCAATGGTTCCATGCTGTTTGATTTAAACGAAATCCAATTTGTGATTTTTAATCTTCTGTGCCTTGCTGCTTGCATATAAACAACTGGACTTCATCAAGCATGCCTGGATCTTACTTCATATGAGGATTTACCTGCTTTAAATCCTTTAAAACTTAAATATCTTTTATTACACCACATTAGTTTAATGAGTCATAAGCAAGAATAGGCACTTGAACTGCCTAGTTCCTTTACATCCACAAAAAATTTTTTTTGTTGCGTTTTCATCAAGGATTCACCTCTTGAAATCAAAAATTTTTTGCGGAAATGGCCGGTTCATGGCACAGAAGATAAAAAATCACGAATTGGATTTCGTTTCAGTCAAACAGCATGGAGCCATTGGTTGCTGTAATCTTTCTTTAAGAACTGCTTGGATCTAAAAGATCCAGTTGCAAGATTCTGGCCAAAAAATGATCAACTGCATTCTTACTTTAGGAACTGCAACTGAAAACTGTTGATTTGAAAAATAATTTGAGAAATTGAATACAAAAATTTTATATGGGGGGATTTTTATAATCCCAATAAAATCTTCCATACAATAGATTTAAATCAAAATCCCAAAAAAAATCCCCATACAAAAATGATTTAAATCAAAATCTCTTTTAAAAATCATTGCAAAAAGATTTTGATTTTTCAATTAAATCACTCACCCTGTTCACAGGTGTAAAAATTATACTTTTTACAGCTTTTTAATGAGTTGAAATGTATAAAAAATCATTCGAATTGATTCACAGTAAATTATTGCATTTTAAATATAATTGTTTTCAAAGAAATTTCTGACTTTCTTCATTTTTTGTATTTTATCTTATTTTTTAAAAATAAATGGACATTATTTTTTGTTTAGTAAGGATTGTACAATCCTTACAATCCTCATATAGAAAGATTGTAGGAATTGTACAATCCTTACAATCCTTATATGAAAAGGATTGTAGGGATTGTAAGGATTGTACAATCCTCACAATTCGTATGGAAGGATTGTAAGGATTGTACAATCCTTACAATTCTGTTGGAGTGTCTGACCCTTGTAAAATCACTTACATAAAACAATTTTGGCACCAACTGCTTCCATAATTGTGTAAATGTCAGAAGGAAAATCCAAATTATTGTATTTCATCACCAAGTTTCCACTAAGCGTTCCAACATTCCGAACTGCATTATTACCAATCATTTCAAAGTGATTAGCAACATCGTTCAGATATGAAAAGTTTCTGTTTTCAGTTCCAACCTTCTTAAATATTTCAATTGTTTCTGCAAGTGTTACTCCACCACCCAATTCCAAAAAATCCTTATTCAGATTATATTTCTTTAATTCTTCAACACTTGAAATGTCAACAAAGACTTTCAAGTCTGGTGATCTACGGTAAACACCATGTGCTGTATTTCCACCGATTAAAATATATGGTCGATATTGTATAGTACCCATAACTTTAAAAAGTTGTTCAAGATTATAAACTTTATGCCATTCTCTTTCGTCTTCAAAAAAGAAGCTGATTGTATTATTCTCAACAAGTTTTATAGAACTGCATTTGCCAGAACATGGTGAGCCAGATTTTGGGCACGTTTTAACTCCATTTAAGTCCTCAATATCTTTGCAGATATCCAATAATTTACTTTCAGCATCAACTGCTAAAGATTTAAATGCATCCAAAATTGGACGATATCCAGTGCATCTACAAATATTTCCTCCAAGGGATTTTTCAACTTCTTCCATCGTCACTTCTCCGTTTTTAGATTCCAACAAGGAATACATATTCATGACCATACCAGGAGAACAATATCCACACTGAGTTCCATTAAAATCAGCCAGTCTCTTTTGAACTTTATGCATACCATCTTTTGTATTTCCTATGCCTTCAATTGTCGTGATATCAAGACCATGACAAGAATAGACATTTTGAAGGCACTAAACGAAATATTATTCTTATTTATTTTTATCAAATCTCAGGAATAATTTACGTACGGATTTAATGCCATAAGCCACAGCTTCCTTCGTTACAGGATGAATCCCCTTCAAAGTAACCGTGCATGCTCCACAACCACCCTCCAAGCACATGAATTTTGTTCCTTTTAACTGCGCGTGTTCTCTTATATACGTCGTTAATGATGTATCGAGAGGCACGCTTGCCGGTGAAACTTAACAAAAACAAACAGAGAGCATCACCAGATTAGTCATAAGTTATTGATAACATATGTCTAGTTTTTTTTTTGTTTTCATTTTCAAGTTTGCAAATTATCTAGGTATGTTATTAAAATATAATCACAATAAGACGGTGATAACGATAGGGGAACCTGTTATTGTTTCTTATCTAAATGTCAAGTGTTTCCTAATTCTGATTGAACGATTTGATGTATCTCGTAAAAAGTTCCACGTTGCAAGATCCAACACAAAACGTCCGTTAATTGCTTTTACTAGCTAATTGACCAATATTGCGCAGTTTTAGAAAAATTATTAAGAATTTGAATTGCTTCTAAGGCAGCTTATTCTGAACATTTCTACATTAAAACTTTTTTTGTGTAAAAGAAATTGTAAAGCTGAAAAGTGTAGTTTGCTATTAATTTTTGTTTTTTACAATATTTGGATGTCGTCAAATTACAATGTTCATCAATGTTGTTTTATTAACTCGAGCTCAAGGTCAATTAATAGCTACATAAAACATAATGAGGTATTTGAAAGCAAAGAATAGTTTTTTTAAAAATGGATAATTTTATGTTGTCTAAACTCAAAACTGGTTAGCTTTAATAGCTATAAAAAAATTATTTAAGCTATCAAGTTATATAATTAACTTTAAAAACTTAATTTCATTTTATGCTTTAAATATTTCAAATTTAACTTTAGTTCTTACTATAATCGTTTCCCAAAAACTATTGTTTTGCAATATCTATCAATATATACCTTTATGGATTACTCCATTAATAGTAAAAATCACTTCCATTTTTTACACTTTGTTCTTTACTCAGTCGCGTTACCGTTTTGAATGAAAATGTTTAGCATTCCGCCTGATTTTATAAGAGCCAAAAGTTTTGAGAATGTTTACACAAAATGATAAGACGGTGAGAGGATTGGCATCTTTACTCTCTGTTTATATTTTTTTTTCTTACAAAGCGATCGCGTGCTTCTCACATGCTTACAATATTGAAGCAATGAAACTGGTTTAGAATTGATTAAATTTAATAATATAAATAATTTTCTTTTGGAATGATGTTATATAGCAAAAGATGAATTTATGAAAGGATGTATGTAAAATTTAAAATCCAGATTTTTATTTCACTTTAATATTTAAATATATCGCACAATACATTTAAAATTTTTTTATCAATCATACAGCTCGTCAAAAATTAATCCAAATGTGATTAAAAACAGTCCAATCTTCACAAATATTTTAGACTTACGAAATTAAGCCTATGACTTGCAGGAGTAGTACATCTCTAGCGGCTTATTAGTCTGTAAAATAGATACAATTAAAGAAACATGCAAATTATAAAATCTAGTAAATTTTACCTTCCAAAACTTCTCATTGACTTGATGTAACGTTTGATTGCCATTTAGAGAAACTAGTTGTGTGGAGCTTGGTGTAATATAAATTGTAAATGTCAAAGCTTTGAATGTTGGCTCTGGTAATTGTGCATCTAGCGACAGTCTCATAGCCAAATATTTACTTAGATGATCAACAGTAGCGTTAGCTGTTGTCTTTATGTATCGCACTGTATTATCCTTAAGAGCCTTCATCAACACATTCTCACTATTCATTTCTGTTGGATGTGGTTTAAAAACTAACTCAATTTCATCATTTCCTTCTGTATCACCCTCCGTGTCTGCATTTGAGTCAACTTCTTCAGTCATTTCGCTATTACTTTCTGAATCAGACCGATCTGTAGTCATTATTGATCTAGCTCTTTTAGATGGCTTACTCATTGAACTTGAATGTGATGGAACTGGAGATGGAGTACTGCGTGCCGACGGAGGATTGGAAGACTGACGTGTGGATTCACCATGTGAGCTACCTTGGCTATTAGATGAAATGTCTCGATTAACTCCATCGTTTTGTGACTCCTCTTGATTCTTTTTTGGACGCTGCTGTCTGTTTTGAGTTTGCAATTTGATGCCTTCAGTAATTGAGTTCACAAGAGCTTGTTGCGAATGATTCTTATTGAATTTTGCCAATACTTTCTCTTGGTGTGCTTCATATTCATCACGGCTTGGATATATTTTTGATATCAAGCAATCGAAATTCGGATCAGGTCTCAAAGATCTTTTCGATACGAGCTTCTTTCTGCATGTCGGGCATTCTTTATTACCAGATCGTAGAGCAGTGATAATACAATCACTGCAAAATCTATGAAGGCACTCTTTTGTAGTCATTGTCTTCTTAAGCATGTCCAAACATATTGGGCACCTATAGAAAGTTTATATGTATTAGAAAATTATGCTAATATGGGAAATTTTTTATGCCATAAAAAGAAAGTGACAAATTGGATGGTTCCAAATATTTTCTTAAAGAGATCTAGTTATGTGAAAAACACTCAAATATTATACTAAATCCTACAAAAATTGACTAAGGCTGATAGTATTGAGCGTTAATTTTTTGATATTTAATATTGTAAACAAAACTTACATCAATTCTGAATGCAATGAGCGTGGAGACACAGCTATTTCAGAATTATCTGTAATCACTTCTTGTGGTGTCCTATTCAATTCATAAAGAGATAGGTCCCAAGTTTTATTTTGCGTTTGAGCTTCCATTTTCAACTGATTTTTATAATAAAGTAAAAAAATATTTTTTCTTGTCACAACAAACTGTAACCAGTGTCTACTTTGTGCTGTATATATCTACAATTTATGTCTACATGATTTTTTCTTCATTCGCCGTCCCCTTAAAAATCAGCTCCAATTGGAAAAAATTTCAGTCTTCAATTTTAATCGGAATCTCAAAGAGTCAAAATGCTGAGAAAGATCTTAAGTTTCCAAAATAAGAATATCTTCAATGCTCTTGTAAGTAGAAATATAATTAAATAAGTGTTCATTTATAAACTGCCAGAAACAATAAATACATGAAATACAGTGAAGCAATTTATCCAATTGGAAAAGTATAGAAGGCAGAAAAATAATAGCTCAGTGCGCATACACACTTATTTTTTTTTCATATCCATGTTTATTGAAATGACCTTTCTAAAGAAGCTTGCCGAAATTTTTTTTAAGTCAAAACAACCAGAATATGTGATAGTAAATTAACATGATCCTCATTTTTTTATATGGTCATTGTACTCGTGCGTGATTTATTCATTTATTTTTTTTCATATTTTTCTACAGAAAGTAACATCGTCTGTTTCAAAGAACTTTGCTACTGAAGCAACATTTGAGACCAAGGTGACCTTATCATCATATAGTAAACAATATAAAAATGTAAAATGGTAACGATGGAAAATATTTTTCTTAACAGGATTACAAGTTGCATTTATTTGATGATGCCGGTCCACCGACTAAAGTTACTGTCACCAGAGATGATGCATTACGGTTCTATAAACAAATGCTTACCATCAGACGATTTGAAACGGCTGCTGGCGCTATGTATAAGGAAAAATTGATCCGTGGGTTCTGTCATTTATATAATGGTCAAGAAGCTATTTGCGTTGGTAAGGAATAAGTCTAGTAGTTTATTTAATTATATAGCTTATAATTATTCTCTAATGAATAGGCATGTATGGAGCAATGAGGCCAAATCTCGATGACTTGATAACCAGCTATAGATGTCACGGATTCGCACACGTAATGGGTGCTTCAGTTTCTGGAATTTTATGCGAACTTGTTGGTAAGGTTCTTTTTCTTATTATTCTTTATAATCTATAAATAGCATCAATTGGAATTATATTTATATCTTACACGCTTAAATTGAATGACACACTTGTTTATCAATCCACAGGTCACATTGATGGAACTCAGCGAGGCAAGGGAGGTTCAATGCATATTTACGTTCCACATTTCTATGGTGGTAATGGAATCGTAGGTGCTCAGGTTCCGTTGGGTGCTGGTATGGCTTTTGCACATAAATATCGTGGAACAAATGGAGTTGCAATAGCATTGTATGGTGACGGTGCATCAAATCAAGGTCAAATCTTTGAGGCCTTCAACATGTCAAAATTGTGGGATATTCCAATGATCTATGTCTGTGAAAATAACGGTTGGGGTATGTCCACATCGTCTGAACGTTCAACAGCAAATACTGGGTACTACACACGCGGAGACAATATTCCAGGTAAAATTAAGTTCAATTTCAAATTTAAAAAAAAACTTTCAACCATTTAAAAATTTCTATTTCACAGGAATTTGGTGTGATGGTATGGACGTACTTGCAGTCCGTGAAGCTACACGTTATGCTATTGAGCATGCTGCAAGCGGTAAAGGCCCAGTAGTTATGGAGTTGGCTACTTATCGTTTCGTTGGTCACTCAATGACAGATCCAGGTTTATATAGAACCAGAGATGAAGTACAAGAAATGAGACAGAAACGTGATCCAATTACACATTTCAAGGAGAAGATCATTGAGTCAGAATTAGCATCGGAAGAAGAAATCAAGAAATTAGAGGCCGATGTAAAGAAAGAAGTTGAAGACGGTGTCAAAAAAGCAAAAGGTGATCTTGGTGTCAACATGGATGAACTCACATGGGATATTTATGCTCAAGATGACTATCTTGTTGATATAAGAAATACGGTTCCATTCAATACATTGAAGCATAAGCGCGTTGCCCATCCACAAAATTTATAAATATCTAAAGTTGAAGAAGCTCCCTGTGCATTTTAAGAGTTGATGATCTTTACATCTTATTTTATCTATTTTATTATTATTATCATATAGGTATTTTTCCATTCAAAAACACTTTTCGCATTTATCCGAACCAACGACTGCTCATATAATTTTATTTTTTCGTTACACGTTTTGTTGTTTGTTTGAGTTTATTTTTAAATTATTATGTGTTCGAAGAAGAAAATGAAAATGTTTTTGTACCCTTTTCTGCATTTTGATAATCGCATGTCATAAATATATCTCACTCAGGCCATCGCTGAATGATAGTTCGTTCACATGAATGGGAAAAGAATCAAATTGATGTTACAAAAAAAAATTACAAAAAACAAATTAAATTATTACCTAGCATATATGGAAATTTTAAAAAAAATTATACCAAATGTATTGAATGAATCTAAGTAATGTCATTAATAAAGGAGTTACTATATTCCTGAAAACTTAGCTTTTTGAGGATATTTCATTAACGTTTTTCAAAATTTTAAGTTTACAGCCTTTATTTATTTATAGCATAGAATTTCACAAAGCATCTCTTACTGCTTACACATAATCTTATTTTTTGATATTTTTATAATTTCTTCACGCGTTTATATCGTGTGCTGTATGTAAGTTGTGAAAGAATTTTGTTGACTGACTTTTTAAGCAGACTCGTGTGTGATAGATTAAATTAACAAATATACAAGGCACAAATATGAGAATACCTTATATGAAGATTGTGATTTATGTACTGACTTTTATCGGATATTGTTATTCGGGATATGGTTCCTCTATTCTAAAATCCTTAAGAGATGCTGTGCTTAGTTCAGAAGTTTTATTTGGAGATGTTTTTAAGAATTTCATAACATTAAGCAAGAAGTTTAAGACTGTCCACGAAATTTTCGACACAGCTGTAGAAGAAAATTGTATTTTTAAATGCCCTGGATGTAAGATTTTGTCTCAACTTTTAAACTTTGACTAATTTCTATATTACTTCAGATCCAGATGTTCATCCTCAAAAAAATAAGCTTCATGTACCTTCGTCTGACGGTTGTGGTTCATTAGGAATGAAAATAGATACAGAATATTTACCGGCACCAGAAATGGGAAAATGTTGTGATGATCATGATATTTGCTATGATACGTGCAATAGTGATAAAGATATTTGTGATCTGGATTTTAAAAGGTGTCTCTATAAATATTGCGATTCGTTTGAAAAAAGTGCTGCTGGTGAAATATTAATTAAAGGATGCAAAGCAGCAGCAAAAATGTTATTTACTGGAACAATGACTTTAGGATGTAAGGCATACCTTGATGCACAAGAAAGAGCCTGCTTTTGTCCTCAACTAGGTTCTCAAAATCAAGGAAAATATGAAAAGGAGAAATTTAAGAAGCCAAAGGATAGGAAAAACTATAACTGGAAATCAGATTTGTGAATTTAATGCTTAATTCAAATAGCCTTCACCCCACAAAGTTTATTTAATTAACATGTATCTATAAAAAAGTAGTGATGCCTCGCCAAACCAAACCTTTAGTATTATTCATCAGATAATGATGAAATTCTACTTATCATATTATATTAGTAAAATATCTATCTAATAAAGATTTAATTTATTTTAATTTACCAAATCATGATTAATTTTGCAATATCCACAAACTGTAAATGCATTATGCCTTGTTGAAAGTAAAAGTTGTTACTTAACATATTTTAACTTAATGAAACTTGAATTTCTTCATAATAAACTCGTTTTTCTGGATCATTACTAATTGCATTTTGTTAAAATGGACTTGCAAACGATCTGATCATGCTTGCAATAAAAAATAACCGTTAAAATTAATCAAGCGAGTTTTAAAAATTCAAAAATTAAATCGTCTTCAAAGTAAGTCGCATGGTAGTTTTATTCAGTTTTATTGTTTACGTTTGAAAAATGGAAATGACAACAAAAAATTCAGTTTTGTACAATAATAACTACTTCCATAAAATATTTAAGAAGATATCTGAAAAGAAAAGCAGAAATGAGGTGATAACAACAGAAATTGATTGGATTAATAGTCAAATAATCAATGATAATAGGAATATTTGTATAAATGCTTGCAATGTTCTGATAAAATTTGGAAAAAGACATGATTCAGGCTTTGCAATAAATACACTGGTTTCTAGTTATTCTCGAATTAAGAACGACAATTTTGATATCATATCTGATGCTGTATTCAATTTGTTACTGGAAAATGTTAAAGAATCAGCTTGTCAGTTTGGAATCGTTAATAAACCACATCCAGCATTAATTTTTATCAACGAAACAAATACAGCAAAGATGATCTATCTTTCAAAGAAAATTGAGGATATAATATCAAGTCCTGAAAGGTAATTCATTAATTTATGCCTAATACAATTAAAATTAATTATACTTTTTGTAGATCTTGTGTCAATTTTCTTCGTCCTATATTACTAATGATCCTCTGCAATAATGAGACAATTTATGCTGAATCAAAGAGTATCTGGATGTCAGTAATGGATAATGGAAATGAAAACCTAATAAGAGATATTATTGCTTTGAGAAGAGTAACTTCACCAGTTTCCTGTATGCTCTACAATTCTATGATCATTTCAAAATTTATAAAGACCAAGAATATTGAAAATTTACTTCTCTTGCTGTCATCCACAAAATATATTGTTGAAAGCTCATTAGATCCTTCCACAAATATTGATATTCTTGTAGAAAATCATGACATTATAATATCTAATCCAAATTGCATCAATATGATTTTATTCCTTATTGCTGAAATTCTTCAAAACTGCTCAGCTACATTTATTCCAAAACTGTTAAAGCTTTTGAACATCCTACTCATTCAAGTTAAAGTAGGACATCCAATGTTTTTATACATGATTCTAGATGGTTTAATACAAATTCTTGCCTATCCAATTTTAAGTGGGAGTGAAATCGCAAAAGTAGAAGAGCTTGTTAATTACATAAGATGTGGAGAAATTAGTAAACATTTCTCAGGGGTCACAAGAAAGTTTTCATCGTCATTTCTTCCTGACTTTAATCTGGTTAATGCTTATGATGCATGTATTTTTATTGAAGAAAATAACCCGTGCAAATTAAAAAGAATTAAAATGAACTATGAAAGAATGTACTGGACGAGAAATCAGCTAATATTACGTGGATATCTGCACTCAAATAAATTGAAAAATGAGGACTATGAAAATTGGAATAATGCTTTGATGAATTTAATTGAAGTTTCGAAGACTGATGATGTTTTAAAAAGTTCTCTGGTGATGCCTTTATTATTTGAATTATCCCAAAGCTTTAATCCTAAAATTAAAGTTTCTATCCTACAAAATATAACTGATTTGGGAGCATCGACTGAAATATTTTGTACAATTAAAGCATTATCAGCAGGAATGATTCGATCTATGTCAATAACTTTACATCTAAAATTGTGGAAAAAGGAGCCTAGAATTTATCCATTTCTTCACAAATGTCTTGTGGAAAAATCGATTCATGATTCCGAAGACTTTAATTTGAACATTGTGAGAGCAGATACAATTAAACAAATTTGTGACTTGAAACCTCATCATGGATCTGATCTAGTCACTATTATTTCTGAAATTTTAAATCAATCATTAGAGTCAAAAACTGAGGAAGTTGCTGCATCCTTGGCAATAGATTCTATCAGCTTTTTATGCTTAAATCATATTATTTCGATTACATCGACATGGAAAGCAATAAGTTTAACTACAAGGTACGAGAAACGTCCTCGAGTAATCAAAAGTTTATGCAATTTCTTTTCGACGGTGCCACAATTCAAAAGGAACAATTTAGAGTATGAAACATTCATGAAGGATATTGTAAGTCGTATATTTTACATGATACAAAGGAGTGATGTTCATGGAATTAATTGTGCCTTAAATGCCTTTAAAAGTTGGACTTATGATACTCTTACATTAGACATGATACCTGACACTTATCGTGAAAATATTTCTTTGCCGGAAGCACCAACTGGAATGGAAGTATCAATGCTAGACTTGGAAGTTCCTGGCGAATGCTACGTTCAATTATTATCAAAGATTAATCCACATTGTTTGCATTCAGTTGGTGATCTTATTAGTCATTTTATCAGACAAGAAATTTCAGAGTATCGTTCAGGACATTACTTGGTCAAAGAAGGACATGCAGAACCAATAAATTATAAAACTTTACCCAAACAAAGCATCGTAAAGGCATTGACACATTTTGTAATTCAACAAGCAATGACAAAAAAGGTTGATAAACTTGTGGACGAGACAATTCTGATTGAAGCTTTAAATATTTTGTCTCAAAAGTACTCACGACCATTACCTCCATTAAATTGGACTTTTTTGCACGAACTAGTTCATAAAGGAAAGGCAATTAGAGCAAAATGCATGGCAGTTGCTTCAAAACAAGCTATAATTTCAGGAACTGCGAAACGATTGATTGAAAATTTTCTAATCAACATTGATGAAAGTAGTCACGAGGATATTGAAATAGCACTAGACATTCTAGTTGATCTATGTAATGGCGTATCGAATGAAATTCTAAAATTATTCTTAGACAAAATCTTCACGTGCCATAGCGATAAACTTGACGAGGAAATTCTCAAGCTATTGAGTCATGAAAAACACGTCACAAATCGTGAAAATCTTACGATGATTATTTCTACATTTATAAATAGAGTTACATCACCAAGTAACAATATCGTTAGACTGATTCCTTCAAACATATTAAATGCGATTCCGATTATGTCTGAGAATAAAATTAAGTATAGATGCGAAATTTTAAAGGAAAATGTGAATGTTGAAAATTCAGTCGCATGGCTAAATGAGTTGCTGCTAGAACAATATGCGAAAAATGAATTTCGTGATATTTTATCTACTTCCTTCATTGAGCTTTTAACATCCACTAAATCCTTTCCTACGAAAAAGTGGCTTAATGAATTTATTATTGTTATACAGAACAAGATGATAGAGAAAGATACAGATATTGAGGGATTGAAATATCTCTTGGACATGATGCTTACTGCTGTTGTATGCATGTCCGGATATTTTATTGCAGATGCTAATTGTAATATTTTTAAGAATCGTTACGCTTTATTTCCACAAAGTTTATGGCTTTATTGCTCACAAGACAAAAATTCAGACATAACACCAAGTTTGTTTGAATTTTTTGTTTACTCAATGAATCAACAGAGTTCCATATCAAAAGAAATTAGGTCAGTTTTTAAATCTGCAATTGTATTGTGCAAAAATCATTGCTACTTTAAAAAGTCAAAAGCATGGCATAATTTCCTTCAAGTAAGTTGCAATGCCATGAATTAGAAACAGCCATGACGTTAATTATTAATTTTACAATTATTTTGCGTCGACGAAAAGCTTATCAAAGTTGTAACGAACTATGGAAATGAAATAAAGATGATCACATGTTGGAAATGTTTGGTGTTTCTTATTTTTTCGACTTGCGCACATTTCGAGCAAGCAGCGACTACACATATCAGACTAGTCGACTAAACTTTCTTTATAATGCAACGTGTTTGATTGTGTTGGTAGAATTTGACTTTCGTCTCACATTGTATATTACATTTTTCTCCGTGCTTGCTCACATTTCAGATGTTATTTTGAGTTGTTACATTCAAGTCGGCTTTTTGCAGTTCCATAACATTTTAAAATAATAATTCAACATTGTTAATAAATGACAAATGATAGTTTAAAAAGTGAAACATCAGAGAGGTGATAACTTTTTCTCAATTTTAATCCAACATTACGTAAATTAATCAAATGAGCATATAGGAACGGAATAAAAGTTAATTTTTTTTCTCTTTCAGATACAGCTCTGAAATGAAATCTCCAAAATTGCTGCTATTTGGAAATCCTTTACTGGATGTCACCATACAAATCAATAATGATGAGCTGTTGAAAAAGTACAACATTGAGAGGAATGGACAAGCAGAAGTGCCACTTGATAAATTAACAAACTTATTCAACGATGCAAGAGCAAGGTACTGAAATGTTTACATTCAAATATTGATCAATCAGCTCATTATTATAAGTTGAATGCCTTCAAACTAGCAGTGAAGGTCAATGGCAAAAAGAGAATGTTTAATTATTTTAATATATACTGTGCTTGCTCTATATTTCTAACTTATTTTTAGATATAGAACATTTAAATATAGTCTTGGAGGAAGTTGTTTAAACTCGTCGAGAATATTGGCGTCATTGGGTCAACGGGATCTTGCATTCTACGGAGCTATCGGAAAAGATCAAAATGCTAAAATTGTTAAGGAGATTCTTAAAAGAGGCGGAGTGAATTCCTGGTAAGAACATTTAATTTATCTATTAATTGAATTCAATTTAATAATGGAAAATAACAAATCAGTTTACAGGAATTGAATACAAGAACTGGAACATGTGTGTGCTTATGTCAAGGATCGGATAGATCGTTAGTAGCAAATATTGGAGCAGCTTTAAACTGCGAGAAATCTCATGTCCAAGAAAATATTGAGAAATTAACTCAAGATCCAGATTATTACTATATTGAAGGATTCTTCATACCTAATAAAATGGAAATTTGTCGGTACCTGAATGATAAGTTTTCAGAAAATCCCAATACTTTATTCATTACAAATCTCAATGCACCATATATTGTTAAAACATTTCAAAAGAATGTCACATGGATGGTTCAAAAAGCTGATATTATCTTTGGGAATCGTGATGAATTTGAGGAGCTTGCAACAATAAATGGATTTCAATCGATGGATGACTTATTGTCTGACTTGTTTGGAAAGTATTCAAAGAGTCATCGACAGAAAGTGGTTATTATAACGGATGGAGCCGATCCTGTAATATTCTTGTGCGGGAATAAGAACGGCTTTGAATCGAATACTGTGGCAGTTCCTCAAGTTAATATTGATGATATAAAAGATACAACAGGAGCAGGCGATTCATTTGTTGCTGGATTTCTTTTCGCACATATGAAAGGCGAGGAAGTGAAGAAGTGTCTTGAATTTGGATGCAAAATTTCAGCAGCAGTAATTCAAACGTTAGGCTGTAATTTACCAAAAGATGTTAAGTTTTAGCAAATCTAAAGTACAAGCACGTGCTGAATCTTTCCTTATTAGTGTTATACGTAAATTTTGAAATGATTGGTTGTTAAGCAAGTAGCATTTATGAACAATTTTTTTTTCACCTTAAAGATATTGTTAATTATAGGTAATTTATCAAAATTCGGCAGTTACTTTAAAGTTGTGCACTCTATTATTAAAAGAGTTAGATAATTATTAACATTTGGGACATTCTATTTTAGTTGTAAATTTAAAAACAAATTAAGAATTTAATGTATTGTCAGGAAAAATGTTCAGCAGTAACTTGTTGAGCATGCATGCAATAAAATGTGTCATTTTCATAACGGTCGAGTTTCATTTTAAAACTTTTCAGAGTTGATGTATACCTTTCTTTTAAAATTCCTCTACTTTATATGACATTAAGTTATCTATTTTATTTTTCTACACTCAAAGAATCAGTCATAATCTTTTTTAACGTCTGACATTAGTTTCATAAAGTCGTGAATTAATGATAAATGATTTAAGCAGGTACCTATTAACAACCCTGTATTGACAGTCTTTAAAATTTAATTTAATAAGGATTAACAGCTTCTGTCCAACACTATGAGCCACAAATGTGCTATTACTGGTTGTGATTCAAAATGGAACCAAAGTGGTGATTTTAAAAAAATTCCTATGTTCCCTTTACCAAAAAACGCTGAAATACAAAATGTGAGTGAATGTCTTAAAAAATATTTAAAAATGTAGTTTAATTAATTAATTTTTACAATTCCAATAATATAAACAGAAATGGTACAAAAATATAGACAAGGACGATATTAATGAGAAATTAAGTCGCGGTTCTTTAGTTTGCATAAAACATTTTGAACATAAATTTCTGAATGCTGATAAATCATTAAATGATAAAGCAATTCCTACTTTACATCTTAAAACAGGCAGTACACTAATAGATTACGAAGAATTATTATCGCAACCAATAAAAAAGAAAAGAGGTACATCAGGATTAATGAACTTGGAATTGGCTAGAAAGAAGAAACTAATGAGACGCCAAAGGATGCAAACTTTGGCTGAAAAAAGACGATTAGCGAAAAAAGAAAATAGCACTAATGTCAAAGTATCAAAAAATAGTCCAGATACGATGATGCATTGCGATAAAACAAATGATTACTTCCTTGGTGATCGAGTCGAAAGTGATACAGAAAAAGTTGTAATTTCATTGCGATTAACAGACCTTGTTAAGCATTTACATGATGAAAAGATGAGTTTGTGTAAACATCCTTCATCAATTCGTGACTCAAAAACGTATCCGATATTTAATAAAATTAAAAATATTCAGGAGTTGCTTAATAATCCAGTTTATTGGACAAAGGAGCAAGTTTTTATATTTATTGAACACATTACCTCTCAAAAAGCAATAATCAAACATTTCGATAAAAACGATATCGACGGAGAAGCAATATTAAGTTTAACTAAATCAGACCTAATAAACTTTCTCAAATTAGATGACAGTACATCAGAGATACTCGGAACAACCTTTGAACAGTTACGAAAAGAAACAATCATGAGATATGTAAATTCATAAAACATGTTTTTATTTTACATTATTCTCTTTTCCTTACAATTAAGCATCTTATGGATAAATTAAAAAATAAATGAACTCAATCTATACAGAACAATGAGAAATTTTAATTAAATTGTTGAGTAGGGGTAAAAATATTAGAATTCAGTAAATTTTGTCAAAACTTCTTGACGCAACCAGAGAATACGATTATAGATTTTAATTGCAGGTCCAATTTTGATGTCCATCAGTGTCACCAAATCCTTTTGACACAAGCCTAACAGTGCTTCACCATCAATTTTTTGAGCATAAAATTTTGCAGCTGTTTCCTCATCACAAAACTTGACTAAGAATGTACAAACATCATCAACGTTCCATTTAATTGGATTTTCTGAGAGATCGGTAATCATTGCTTTGTCTAGGATTTTTGAATTTTTGGTCCATAAATCATAAGCATAATTCATTTGTGGTCCATATTCTGCAAGGAAATGCTGAATAACACGTATTTTAACTTTTTTCTCTCCTTCATCTTCGTGAACAATCTCTTCCTTCTCTTCAGCAGCAACTGATTGTACGATCTTTCGCTTCTTTGCTCGTTTTTTTGGAACTCTTACATTTTCACTTGACGCTGTATCGTCCTCATTAATTTGAACAGCTGGTTCTTCCTTAATTTCTAATTCTTGCTTTTCTTTTTTGTACTTGTTTTGTTGTAAAAGTAATGAACGATTTTCATTTGCCACAGCTGAGCTCTTGTTCCTAGATTAAAAAAAAAATTGAAAAAATATTTAAATTGCATAAAAAAATGTAATGTTTAAATGCTCAAAGGACTTACCGTCTGACATAAGGTTTATAATCCATTCGAGAGTTTTCTTTTTGTTCAATTAATCTTTTCCAGTTATCGATATTATATGGACATTCTTTAGGATTGTCATGAAAATAGCGATCTATGTACAATCCATTGCCAATTCCTCGACATCCATTCATTGAGCATAGACTATTTTCTAAGAATTTAAGTGCTCCAGCTGGATGTTCAATTGGATGTTCCGTTTGCTTGCAGTAATTAATTGGATGAATATCTTCCGAATCATCGTCAAGCCAATAAGCATACTTGATGTCAAATCCATCAAAAATGACTTGGATTTTGTATTCGTTTCTACACAAAACAGTAGCTGGTCGGATGAGTTGTGGATTGACTTTGTCAACAACTTCTAGTTTCATTCCCGGTTCAAATTGATATGGTTTTCTAGTCTTGTGAAGTAAAAAATCAGCTGGTGACTCAACAGCACCACAAGTTTTAATATATTCGGTCCAATCAAAAGGTTTAGTAGATATAAATGGTGGTTTAAACTGGCTTTGATCTTCTAATGTTTTGTGTCCATTACATGGAAGCAAATATGGCGAATAAATGTCGAACCAGTAACATCCAAAATTTTCATATATGCCATCAAATCGTATCAAGACTCGTAAATTAAGCACATCAATAATTGTAGCTGCATAACAGAAATCTCCGTGTTTTACTTCGACTTTCATTCCAACTTTTAATGGATTCATTTCACTTGATGACTGATTGAGACGAGAGAACATGTAAAGCTGAGCACCAACCGAATTTGTATGATCAAAATATTCTGTCCAATCAAACTTTTTGTTACTCCAACGTTGAGGAACATTCAATTTCCGACCACTACTTTGACAGAAGCCTACATTAAAGATATTAAAACTATCGCTATTTGTCCAAAAATCATAAGATGAAGGAAAGCCATCGAAATGAATTTTAATACGACATCCTAATTTCTCCTCAACAGAACAGACACAAATCAAATGCTGATTTTTTGGATCAACAGCTTCGAGTTTCATTCCTACTCGGAAATGATTTGAGGCAGTTTTGCTCGTATAAATAAAGAAATCTTCTGGTGCTGGAACACTTTTGGCAGTCAAATAAGAGTCCCATGAAAACTTAACTTCTGGAATTGCAATAGTCGAACTTTTTTTAGCATGTCCGTGCTTCCTCTTTGTTTCAGGCAATTGCTGTTCGAGTAAATATTGTTGTAACTGATGTAATGAAACTAATTCTCCTTCAAATATCACTTTCTTAGCATCTGTAGATGAAATATGTCCAGAATCTCCATTTTCATCTTTAGACGATGTATTAAACTCTGTTGTCTTGCGTTTGGTTATAGCAAAACATGATTCACTACAGCATTCGGGTGAGAAAAAGTCACGAATGGTTCCCAATTTTGAGCATATAACACAAGTAAATTGATCTTGAGGATCAGCAATTTTGCGGAACTTAAAGTTAAAATTATCATCTGCCGTTAACGGATTCTCATCATATTTCAATTTTGCGGTTGCATCTTTCTTGTTTAGTACTTCAATTAATCCAAATTCATTAAATCCAAAGAGCTTATTACAATTATTAAGCCCACCGATCCCATCTTCCCACAAAATTTTATTAAGCGGATCATGAAAGTCCATTTCCAATTCAACTTTCTTTTCGACCTTTTTCTTACGACTACTTGGTTGTGGTGGCTTATAAGGTAATCCAAGACTTGTGATAACTGTTGGATTTTTTGGTTTCCTTGTCCTTTTCGGTTTATTATCATTTACTTTAATACTCTTCGATGTTGATGCTTGATCCAATAACATTTCACTTTTTGGTGATGACTCATTATTATCATCATTGTTTTTCTTTTGTTCTATCATTGATGACTGATTAGATTGATCATCATCATTGATGATGGATTCGTTTACCTCTTGATCCACTACAATTTTGTCATGTGCTGCGCTAGAGTTTGAAATTAGATCAAGTTTCAAATTCTTCTTTACATCCTCAACTGATTGACTTTTCACTGTTACTTCTTCATTTGTATGCATTGGAGTAACTTGATCTTTTGATTTATCACTACTTTTTGGACTTTCCTCTGGAGTTATATTCGCAATAAATTCGTCACATAATAATATTGAATTGTTACTATTATTATTATTATTATTATTTTGCTGCTTATTTGTAATACTTGTTGTTGTTGTAGATATTATGGCTTTCGACTGTTCACAACTTTCTTTTATCTCCTCTGATTTATTCTCCAAATCATTAATTTCATTATCATTGTCGTTATAATCCTCATCACACTTTGATTCAGTAGTTTTTTCGGACGCTTGTAAGTCATCATCGCCTTCGATAATTCGTTTTACATTCAGAAACTGTTGTTCACTGTCCTTAGTACAGCAAGTTGATATGACTTTTTCTGGTGTTTTTTCTTCTTGATTTTGTAGATCATTCTTTTCAACATCATTTTCGTCGTCGTCATTAAAATTTTCCGATTCTGATGAATTTCCAATTTCATCAATTTCCATCAACATTTTCAAACTATCGTTCTTTTCAGTTGTTGTTGTTGTTGCCTGTGTAATTGTCACTTTTGGCTGAATAGGTGCTAATGCTGGAGGAAATATATTAGAAACGGATGGTATTGTCCATTTAGTCGTTTGTTGTTGTGAATGAGGTACATAATTTTTTAGTAAGGAGGATGCTGTTACAGGAATCGTTATGACATTTGGTTTAATTTTCTGATTACCTGAAGTTGGTGATTGCTGAACGATAACAGTTGATGGTAAAATGACATGTTGTTGCAAGACAATCTTTTGTGTATTTTCTGGTTTTGGTAATATTGGAATTGGCTTTGATTCCTTTATAGACGATTGAATTATTTTTACATGCTGCTTCGGGAGATTATTTTGATTACATGATATTTGAAACATTTTTGTTTGATTGCTACTTTGTGCAGGCACAATAATTTTCTTTTGTGATGGAATTTGCAATTGATTAATCACAGTTTGAGCTTTCACTGTGCTCGTAGGTGTTGGATGCAATAAGAGAGTATGTCCTGCATGATTTTTTAGCGTTATCTCTGATGATATTTTACGTAATCCTGTCGGTGACGAGTCTTGAATTTTGATAGTTGGATGGCTCTGAATCAACGAAATTTGTTGTGGTTTAATGATATTTTGTTGTGTTTTCTGTGTATTAGTTGTTGGAGATTGAGCCCGAATTAAAATCGTTCCTGCTGTTCCCTGAATTTTTTGATGGTGAACTGGACTATTTGCAGTAACTGTAATTGGCTGTGAAACAACTTGAATATTTGTAGTATTCGTCTTCGTTTGTGCCACTTGCAAAGTATGTGACGAAGTTGGAGATGAAAGCAATTGTTGAGGCTTAAAACTAAAAACCGACTGTCCATTATCTTGATTACTCGTCAACAAGCTCTTTGTAACATCGAATTTAAAGGATGGCTATATGAGGCAAACAAATGAGTATAAATAAATTAGTATTATGGAATCGATGATAAGTAAATTTGCATAAATATACTCATAATAATGTTCTGTATGTAATGTAGAAAAAAATGTACACGCTTACCATATTTTTCATTGATAATACAATGACTTTTTGCTCCTTATTATTCGTTGCTGGATGATTTTTCGTCGCATCTTGCGGAACTGACATCTTGTTCCTCTTTAATCACCTGAAATAAACGAAATCTTAATGAAAATGTGACATTTTAATAGATTTTTTTGTGTATTTTTAAATGTTTAATAAAAATGACAAAATAAAGGAACCAATCAATTTTATGATGTACATGATCTTAAAACTTACCTTTTAATCGATAATTAAGAAAACTTATCTGACTAATATCTCTGATATTTTCAAATATTTTAAAATTTCAAGCTTTTCGTTAAGGATCCTTCACTTATAAACAACCCCATTAATCCATGTTATTCTCACGATTTAGTAATTTTTCTTTGGATTTTTGTAAATCAACATTGACTTTTTAATTTTTCTCATTTTAAATGTTTCTAAAGCATTTATAACAGTTTATAAGATTAATTAACGTTTCATGTCATGATAAAATGAAAAATAACACATAGAGTGCTGCTCAAATATTTCTTTCAAATAATAATAAATCAACATTTGAAAAATTGTTAAAGTTTATAGTGAAACCAGTAGTGTTTAAATAGTGAGGATATAAATTTAGTGAATATAGATCATGTGGAAAGTTGATTCATTTACAACAGACGTTATCAATTAGTGTTCAATTCATAATTTCAGTCTGAAAATTTTGCAATATTTTCCGAGAAAAGCACACAAACAAATACATAGAAAGAAATTATACATTTGTTATTGTTCGAAAAAACTCGATTGATTAAGTATAAAGCACTTCCACGGGATCATAAAAAGTTGCTTTAATTTCTCAAAAGTTTAATATTATTAAAAGTTTTTAATTGCCAGTAATAATAACGTTTTCTAGCCAAAAGAACAGATTGAGTAAAAATAGGAATACAAGAAGAATCTTTTGAAGACAGCAGTTCTTTAAACTATGCGCGTGGATGTATAGTTCCGAAAATTTCCGAGGCAAATAAAACTACGTGAAGAAAGCAAATTAGTTTAAGAAAAAAAAAATCATATAAAATTCTCAATCAATGCAGTCTTAATTCTCATTAATCATGAGTACTCGAGGAACAGAAGATGCTATTGGTATGTAGACTTATGTTACAAATAAGCAAGTATCCAAAATTAATCGTAATTTTCTAATGACCTTGAAATTTATTAGAAAAAGTGCAGATGTTGATTAAAATGCAAAATTAATTATGAATAGTGTGTCAATTGAGCATTAAAGAGTGATCAATGAGTTCAATTTGTTTTCATTTTAGAGCATCATCTCGTTAACACAGACTCCTCCTCTGATATTCACAAAAGTTCGTCTAATTCAACAAAAGGTATGGGCATTAAGGAAGTATGTCTGATCATAGATTTGACAGAGACCCAAGAGAACTATGTTCACCGAAAAATGGCTTACGAAGAAGTTAAATTGGCTTGTCAGTCTATCGCCTGCAATCTTCAGCTTGTTCAATTCGGAAAGTTAGATTTTGTAAGTGAAATCTCTTTTTTTCTTATGACTAAGTGATCAACAAATAATGTAAGAAGAAGAAAAAGGAAGTAAGAAAGATTTTTTTTTTTATCTTGATCTTTTTAGGGTGACACAAATACTGCAGATATTTTTAATAGCGCTGATGTAGCAATCGTTGATTTATCTATTCAGCATCAACAGAGTTCTTTATCATATAAAATTGGTATTCGTGAGAGCTTTGAAATGAAGAATAATGTTGTGCTTTGTAACGATTTGGATCAAGTAAGTTGTTGTTTTGATTAGTGATTTTTGTTTATACACGTTTTTATTGATTGACACGTTTGTGTACATTTATTTTAGGAGGCAACACTAAGGTTGAAAATTTCAACTTCAAATTACATGTTTTTACCGTATCGGTTATCAGAGGAGAAAAATTCGTGTATTATAACGAATCCCGTAAAAGGAGGAGAAGATATTGATGGCAATAAGCAACAAACACTTTATCAAAGAGTTAGAAAAATTTTACTCGATGCTGAGATTCAATCAAAAGCTCATTTGAAGGAAAAATTTTTGGCGGATTTACGTGCAATAAGGGAATTGAATGATATGGACGAACAAAAAAAGAAATTAAGAAACATGCGTAAGCGTCTTGATGATCCAAACGTCCTATCTGGTGATATATTTCAGTCTTATATGTATTCATTACGTGATGTTCAAGACTATGATGCGATGGTCAATTTAGTAAACGATTTGCAAACAGTTCCAAGTACTCAGAAAGTTATGCATACAGGTCAAATGTCTTACCTATATGCCTTCGCTCTAAATAGGCGCAATTCAAGTGGAGATCGCGAAAAAGCACTTCAAGTTTGTATTAAGGCTCTAGAAAAGAAGAAGAATCACTTTCCTGATATGCTCTGTCTATGTGGACGAATTTATAAAGTAAGCTAACATACAAATTATACTCAATTGAGATCTATTAAGGTTTTATGACTAATTGACTACTTTATTTTTGAAGGATATTTTTGTAGAATCAAATTATTCTGATAGTGAGTCATTGCAAAATGCAATTCATTGGTATCGGAAGTCATTTGAAGTACAACCTAATGAATATGCAGGAATTAATCTCGCAACATTACTCGTTATTAAAGGAGACTCATTTGGAACATCTCAAGAATTAAGGCACATAGCAATAGTTGTAAATTCATCCATTGGACGGCGTGGTGAATTATCACTATTGACTGATTATTGGCTTGTGGCAACATTCTTTGAAATTTCTGTTCTTGTTGAGGATTACTCGAAAGCAATATTAGCAGCTCAGTGTATGTTTAAGTTGAAACCACCGAATTGGTTTTTAAAGTCGACCATTGGAAATATTCAATTGATAAATCAATTTCGTGTCTCACATGAAAACGATTTAATATCACCAGAACGAAAAATATTTGACTTTTGGGTCGAATTTTTCCTCGAAGCAATTAACACGGAACGTGGAACTGATATACGTTTTCCAATCATAATTTTTGAACAACAAAGCAATAAAAGTAGCAATCATAATGTCTTTATGCCTTCGCACTTAATTGTTAATATGGATGTTGAGGAGAAGGAGAAGCGATCAATTGAAATTATAAATATTTGTGCTAATCATGAAAATGATAATTGCAGAAAAAGACACAATTTTCTGTTCACGGCCGATCAAATAAAGTCAGTATCATTGTATAAACGTGATGAACGGTGCCTTTACCTGTATGTCTATCAAAATTCTGATGATTTTCAAATATTCTTTCCGTCCGTGATATGTCGACAAAGTTTCTATGACTATATACTCGAAATGACAAAAGAAGGCGAATCGTTTGTAAGATTAGATGAAGAATTTCCAACTGAAGAGATTAAATTTGAGTACGAATTGGACGAAAATAAGCAAAAAGTAGTATTAGGAAAAGGAACTTATGGAAAAGTTTATGCTGGTCGAGATGTTTTTACTCAGATGAGAGTTGCAATTAAAGAAGTGCCTGAAAAGATTTTTGATCTTGTTCAACCTTTACACGAAGAAATAAAACTTCATTCTCAGCTCCGTCATAAAAATATTGTGACTTATTTTGGATCAGTATCTGAAGATGGATTCTTTAAAATTATCATGGAGCAAGTTCCTGGTGGTTCTCTTTCTGCTCTTTTGCGCTCAAAGTGGGGTCCGTTAAAAGATAATGAAAGTACGATTGCACATTACAGTAAACAGATCTTATTCGGTCTTAAGTACCTTCATGACCAGAAGATTGTTCATCGTGACATTAAAGGAGATAATGTTCTCGTCAATACATATAGTGGTAAGCATGCCAATTTTTTTTTTGTAATAAATTTTATTAATATATTTTAATTCATTTTAGGGGTCATTAAAATTTCTGATTTTGGGACATCAAAAAGGTTGGCAGGAATCAATCCTAAAGCTGGGACTTTTACAGGGACAGTTGTATGTATAATTAGTTATTTTGAATGGAATCACATTGTTAACAAGTTTAAAATCTATAGAATTTTATGGCACCGGAAATAATTGATCAAGGAAATCGAGGGTACGGTCCTCCAGCAGATATTTGGGCTTTTGGATGTACGAATGTGGAGATGGCAACAGGAAAGCCTCCTTTCATCGAACTTGGATCACAAGAAGCAGCAATGTTCAAAATTGGATTTTATAAGAAACATCCAGAAATACCCGAAGAAATGTCGCCAATGGCAAAGAAATTCATTTTAAGATGCTTTACAGTGGACGTTGATTTGCGAGCAACTGCAGCTCAATTATTAGAAGATCCATTTTTATCAGATAAACTTAGACGCTCCAGAAATCTTATACCTTCATCTACATCCACAAATACAGTCGATTTTTCTCGAAGCTATTCAGTACCTGTCGACCGAATGGTAACAAAACCTACAAGCATACCTAATACACATCAACAAAGCGTATCTGCATGCAATACTCCAACAACTCCAGAATTTGAGTGAGTGTAATAATGATTTTATTATATTGAATTGAACTTGAATTTTGAATTTTCTTCAAAGTTTTTCATTATTTTGTTTTGTACCACTAAATGCTTGTTAAACCCATATATTTTATTTCTTTCGTGTTTGTGCTTCCATTATTACTGTCACTATGTTTATAAATGCATCATAAAGGACACCCAGTAATCATTTCACATCACCCACTTCACATTTGAAATCTGAACATAAAAAATTGTCTGCCAAAAGTCATTTAAGTCCTATACAAATACCAACAATAAGTACTGTCAGGTATGCAATTTTCTTTCGTTTTTCTTGCATAGAATTTCTTGAAGTCGACTAAACTTAAAACTTCATCAGCATGAACTTAGTGAAACGGTTCGAAAATGCACTTTAGACGACTTCAAGTGATTCAAATCTAACACATTTTGAGTTATTGACTTTCATTCATAAAATCTGTTAATAGCTTAATAATATATATACTCAGAAGTAATTTATTTGCTAAATATTCACATCTAGTTCCATTATTACACCATCCGTTGACGTGGCTGAAAATGAATTTAGCTCATCATTCAGACGGAGCTCAACTGGTGTTTTATTATCTCCGGAAGTTACAGAAAATGACGTGATCTCGTCAACATCAAAAAATCTCGCCGGTGAAGCAAATGAAAGTGACGGCTTTTATTTATTAAAGAAAGATTCTCAACGTCGACAAACTCTATCAAAGGTTCTTTCGCAAGACGAGAAAAAAATTTGCGAAGTTTGGATGGAGAAGATTGCAAATGATCGGTCTGAAAAAATTGTTCTTAATATCGTAAGTGCGAAAGTTTCAGAAAATGTGTAAATTCTAAGTGTTACTTACACTTTTTCAACCTATTTCTTAGTCTCATCTTGAAACCTTAATAGGGATACTACGCGATTACATCACAGATCAAAAGAAGGAAGGATTAAAGAAAGCTTTGATTCAATTAAAAAAGGAATTAGATTTTGATCCAACAGCAATTGATCATCTCCACTATGCATTATTTAAATTTCAAGATGCAGTCAATACTGTGTTGAGAAGCGTTAGCATTAAACCACATTGGATGTTTGCACTGGATAACTTGGTTAAATGTGCCGTCCATGCAGGATTAATGGTTTTATCTCCAGGTTTGTGACAATTCAAATAAATTTTAAAAGGCGTTAAAAGTAAATATTTAACAGAACTCGGTGCAAATTTGGCTGGAAGTGATCGAGATTTTGGGTATGGAGATGATGACGACGTCGATGAACTCTCAAACTCAGGAATAAGTACTGTTAATTCAGCAAAAATTAAGCATCACAATGTTAAGGAAAATTACGATAATAAGATTTTATTAGAACAATTGAAAATATTGAAAAGTGAAAATTCAAAGCTTATTAATGAACTGTTGGAATCTCATAAAAGTCTTCAGAACTTTTTAAAGTCAAGCGAAAGTGGTGTTGATGCACTAAAGATAATTGTACAACAGTTTACAACATTTACTCGAAATTTTGAAAGAAGTATTTCTTATGGTTATTATAGTGACGATCAGAATACAAGGAAGACATCACTTTCTGTAGAAACGACACCAAGTACAGAGGATAACAATATTGAAAAAACAGTTCACAATAAGCTTCAGTTACCGTTATTTAAGAATCCACAATTAAAAAGTCCTTTGAGACAGTGCCATGATATGAAATTGGTGGAATGGTTGACTCGAAATGGTTTTGATGAAGAATCCAGAGTAGCCATTGGAATTGCCGATTTCACCTATGAAGATTTTATTTACTTTTCCGATAAAGATGATATTCGTAGAATTGGTTTGAGGTAACTTTAAATTTTCAACCGTTTAATGATTTTATTTTAAAACTTTCAATTCACAGAGCCGGAACAGAAGTTCGAATTTGGAAACTAATTCTTGCTCATCGCAAAAAATATTGCAGCTATCAAGTAGAGCTACAACGTACTATGACTGACCAAGTGATAAATGGATATCCTAGTGAAACAAGTTGCTTCAATAGCTATGATTCTACTTCAAGCACCACTAATAGTTCTTATGACTCTTGTGAATAAAATGAAAAAATAATTATTAAAGTGCAACTAAGAAACTTGTGTGCATGCTTTATTTTTTATAATGTTTACTAATTTTTGTTGTTATGATGAATAAATGAAACATTTTTTTCTTGTTTCTGAGACATTAATACACATGAATTATTCAGCTGTTTTTTTGTGTCCACAAATATCGACACATGACAGACGTCATTGATAAAATTTTATCTAATTGATAAGATTTTTGTATGCTGTGTAAAAAAGTCAATGAATGAATCAGTGCCATTTAGTCACGAATATACCTTCTATACGATGAGTTTTTGGTGGTGGTTTTTAATTTTCATTTTACCAATTTTCATCGTTTTAATTGCTGTAACTATTTAATTATTTACTAGACATAAGTGCTTAAACATCCTAGGATTGTAGATCATAGTGCATTTTAGAGGCAAATAATTATTTTTAAATTACGTGCAATTGAGTATGAAAATAATCGCAATGATTCATGAAAACTTTTTTTATATCTTATCAAATAAAAATAAATGTTTATGGCGAAATTGTTTAGGAATTAGGTATGAGGCCGTTCACAAGTGACGCCTTTTAATAAAATATAAAATTTATCTACTTGTATTTCAAAAGTATCAGCTTCAAATTCCAAAAAACTTTTGAGCTTCAAGGAGTCAATAAGAGAGGAAAGCTAGGAACATTTTGACCGTCCTCAAGTGAAAATTATTTTTCAAATGAAAATTAGTATAAAATTATTTCCATGAATTGATTATTTTTTAATGAAAATAAGTCCGATTAAAGTCTGTTTCTTTTTTATTGAGCATAATATCGCTTTTACATGCTTTTAGCTTTCGATGTATTTGTCGCTCGGGATATAACTCTAATAATATTTTCATTATGTAGATATCAGTCTCAAAAAGAAATCGAAGATATACGACGCAGCGTGTAGTAAGAGTTCAAGAACCAGTAATTTATACGGTTCAACAGCCTCAACAGCAAATAGTTGTAAGTCAAGTGCCGAATAACTTTCAAAATAGTCAGCATATATCACCAGCTGTTTATCAAGCCGAACAAAGATTAAATATACATTACGCACAACCCGTTGCACCACCTCCTTATAATCAATCTTATCAGCAAAATCAACAGCCCTATTCAAACAGATATTAAATATGGACGCATGGTTGATAGTCCTGATTACAATTGTGTCAGGAATAGTTTTGTTTAGCATATGTTTCAGTATAAAGCTAAGGAAGAATAAGAGAAGGACAGCAGCTCGAAATGCAGCATATTCTGCCACAATTGTAGTTCAGCCAACTCATTCATCAAATCTGCATCAACAAACTCCATATTCTAATCAACAAAGTCAGAGTATGCCTTATCCACCACAAAGTCAGAGTATGCCTCATCCACCACAAAGTCAAAATATGCCTTATCCACCGCAAGGTCAGAGTATGCCTCATCCTCAACAATCTAATCAATATCAACAGCAGCCTAATTATGTTACCCATACACAAGCAATGTCATTCGTGCCATCCACAAATAATCAACCATTATTTAATCAGCAAAATCCCCAACAATATTTTAGTCAACCACAAGGAATAATTGTTAGCACAGCTCCTTACAATCCATCACCTTCAGCACCGCCAGTTAACCGTTATTAATTGTTTATGAAATGTTTTAAAATGAAGAAAAAAAAACAAATTTTAAGGACCATCCTCGATTTTATGAATGATCCATAATGGATATAAAGTGCAAAATAAAGAATATACGAAATTGTTATTGTGATAATCTTGAAATTGTTATCATTGGCGTTTTGATTGTTGATTAGACAATAAAACTGTATAAAGCACATGAAAGCACTTTCAGTTGTTTATTAACGTCTATTCCATTAATATGACAGTTCCTGTGATAATTTTGTTGTTGGCAGTGATTTTTTTCCTGGCATTTATTTTCACCACTCTTCGACAGAGAAGCTTAAGACAGCATCCAAATAATAATTATCATATTCCACGACGATGTTCCAATATTAATTGTGGTAAGAATGTTTCGTGATCGTATTCTGTGTATGAAAAATTATCAACTTTTTGCCATCAAAAATTAATCCATGGAAGATAAAGATAGTGAAAATACGAGATAGTCAAGAATTGATAAAAAAAAAAATCAGTATCTGTTTTTAAGGCATTTGAAACAAACCACTGCAGAGCTTGCAAAAATGATTCTTCTAGCGATCATTATTTTCTGCATAGTCCTACTTTTTGTCTCAATTGGCTACGAATTGAAAAGAAAGAAGCGACGGGAAACTGATATGTTAATGGAAGACAGATATAGAAATAATCAGAATGGTAATATAAATCAAAGAATGGAAGTTCAATTATTATGGAAAGCACACAAAAAAGTTTGAGTATTTTTCAGTTGCTTATCAGCCGTCTTTATAATCGGTTTTATGATTTTTTTGTGAAGCTCGTGTGAAAATTGTTATTAAAATTCTTGAGTATTTGGCGTTAGTCTCGTGTGAAAAGTTGTTTGAAATCACATTATGACTTCAATTAAGTGATAAAAGCTTTTAAAATTTTTCTACAAAACCATTCAATTCCTTTGAATTGTAATTTTTACATTTGTATAGCTCTGAAATAACGAACATTTAAAATCTCGTGAATTCAAAAAAAATCCGTTAAATTTTAAGCCATGATTTTTGAGTCGATAATGATTACATTTTTCTTGGTATTTCTTGTTGTTGGATTATATTCATTTGGTAAACACAATTATAAATCAACCACGAGCAATGATTTACCTTCTCAAGTTCAGAGACGTTGGAGACATAATGACGGTATGACGTATTTTATCCCTTATCAATAAGGCATCTTTATCATAGCTCATAGAAACTCTTTTCCCGTCATCACTCGCCTGATAGGTGTGCAAAATAATCTAAATTCATAAATATTCATCAAGTTACTAAAATAAATATTAAAGGCTAAATACGGAAACTTTTGTAGTTCTTATCGCCTCGACTCGTATTTCAGTTATCGAGTTTCTGATAAAAAATAATCTTTAAATTAATTTCTATGCGTTCCGATAGCTATCGCTTAGTTCAATCAAACCACTTTCATTATTGTCGGCTACAAGAGTTGATCGATTTAGTTTCTTTAGTTTAGTCGATATCTGCACAATGTTTTCTTGAGCACTTGGAAGTGTGATTTAAAAAAAATTATTATTATGGACCAATTTTATTGGTATATTTCGTTCATCCTAATTTCAACCTTCCTCATATGGCTCTCGTTGGTGTGAATAATTTTACTTTGATGATATTAAGTGAATCTTTTCAAAACTATTGAATCTTTTCAGTACTCATTTGACAAGAAGAAACGTGTAAAAAGATGTAAGTTTCATTTTCTGAAATGCATTTTCGACATCATGTTCCTTTATCTATTTTCTGACGCGTCAGGTTAATTAATTATTTTTCCTTATCATATCGATTTTATTTTTTACTTTTTTTTGTTTGATTTTTAAGTCGTGATAAAAAATTAGATTTAGTATAGCTTGATTTCGCTTAAAGTTATGGAAGTTCTTTTGTTCATTAGCTTCATTTTTATTCCCGTTGTGGTTATTTGGTTCATATTATGGGCTATTGAAAGTAGGAGAAATAAGAGAAGAAATACAATTTATAATGCAAATGGAAACAGAATGAATGAAGGTGGTGAGTCTCATTATTTTCGATCTGTGGTGAAATAATTGATTTACCGGATTAACAAAGAGTGATATCACAATTATTTAAACTAAAAGACTGTGTTACGAAATAGGCACATGTGCACAGGTGAGAACCGTACAATTCCTTGATAATTTATAGGATTTTTCGAATTTTTCTAGCAAAACCATACAATTTCTAATAAAACCAAACAAATTATCAAGGAATTGTACGGCTCTCACCTTTGCAAAGGTGCGTATATTGCAACTCTGACTAAAAGACTGTGTGTTTCAAAACCGTATGAATTCTTCTAGAAAATTGAACGGTTCTTTAAATTCAGTGAAACTCAAGCAATTGTAAATGAAAAGGAATTAACAGTGAAAAAACAGCCTTTTCTAAACTTGCATAGTTCACTTATAATTCTATGTTTCCAGTTATTCATGCAATTGAAACTATAAGTCAAGATTTATCATTTATAAAATAATTCTCAAGTACTTGATAAGGCATTAATAAAAAAAACTATTAATTTTTACGACAGTGATTAAAATAGCAGTATCTTTGGATCAGGGGTGCATTCAGAACTTATAACGGATTGTTTATTTACCCTTATCGAGCTAGATACGTCCCTCTTTTAGACAATTAAGTGGTTAGAAAGAAATTAAATTAATAAGGAAACAGCCTTCTATTGTATGCTTCCTATCAATATTTTTGCAGCAAATGTTTTATCAAAATTATCAGAATCGATAAAAAGAAGAAGAAGATCTTGCAAATAGACACAAATCGGTTGAGATTTAGCAAGCAAATGTGACTTAAAATGAAATCAGTGTGTGTTGGAATTTTTAAAAGGACAGTATGAATACAACATTTGCTGTTTTTGTACTACTTCTTCCTTTTATAATGTTAGCATTCATTGTATGGGGTGTCAATAAGAAAAGACGAGAAGTAATAAGGGGCCATTCATTTATTACGTAACGCTTTTAGGGGGAGGGGGGGGTCTAAGATTTTGTTACGATTCAAACAAGGAAATTTTTTTTTTATACAAATTTTGTTACGAGGGGGGGGGGGGGGGGGTCTAAGAAGTCATTTTTTCGCGTTACGTAATAAGTGAACAGCCCCTAAGAGGTGTGAAAAATGTGTCATTTATTATTTTTGTTTTGAATCAGGTAGAAAAAAAAAAATACTTGTGTACGAAAGACATATAAGTCGATAAGTTGATAATTTTCTCAGTCGATCATCGATTTTATTTAACGTCTGGTTATCAGTTTCTATAAATCGTAATTTGTCGTTTCGTACCTTTTTTGTGGTTGTAGCGATTGCCATTAATGTGTTGTAGAACGTTTTCAACAAGTGAATAAAATGGAAGTTTTCGGGATTTTTGTGTTACTCTTAATACTTTTATCGATCATTATTACCATCATTCTCATGATAAAGTTTGATTCGCAACTTATTAATATATCACGTTGTGGGTTTACTTCCAATATTTTTTTTAAGAAATTTATTCCATGTTCATATGTGAAAATATCGCGAAAGAGTGGATAGAAATTTGTTGATAATACTGTGTGATAACATTAATTGATAAGCTATTTTTTTCCTCTTTAATATTAGCTCAACCTGTCGTTCAGACTACGACCTGTTCAAATGTGATATATACTATTCCTACTAACGACCCTAATAGATTTTCAACAAACATTTCCACGACACTTCGTCATCATTATGGTATGTTTTGGGATCACTTATCACTTCAATTCTTACAATATTTAAATTGAATTTTTCAGACTTACCACCAAGTTATGACCAAGTTGTGATTCAAACGGTTCAAACGCCATCGACTCCACCCACACAACCAATAACTGCGCCTACACAATTGCCAGAAAGACCACCAAATTATGCGGAAGTACCAAAATAGTTCAAACTAACCCGAATAACATCACACTTCTCTTTTATTATTTTATATTCACAACAATAAAAACATTTTCATTAATAATTTATCACAAAAGTATGTATCACTTATGTTAATCCTTCACAGATGTCATCATTATTTTTTTTTTTATTTTAGATCGTTGAACTGTTTCTTCTCGGGAGAGTATTTTCCAGCGACGAGATAGTTGGATTTTGTATTGGTTGAGGAGTCAATAAGGACATTTTAATTGCTTCGCTATATGCAGGGGGAAGATCATCTTTCGAATTGGGCGATGAATTAGATGCATAGTTAATGACTGTTTGTCTTTGTGCTCCTCTTTCTATTGTGTAGACTGATATCCTACAATCTCCATTTTCTGCTCTATTTTGTGCTACAAAAATAATCAATCATAAGATAATTTTAATTATTTCAAGTACTCCCATATTACCCTGTGCCTGTCTTGCCATTTCAAACTGATAGTTTCTTAATGTTCTACCAAACCATGTGCATGAATACTAGAAAAACATATCTAAGGATATAACAATATTGTAGAACATAATTTCCAATAATTAAACTTACTGTGAGAAAACAAAATATGGCGAAGAAAAAGAAAACAGAAAGTGTATAGTCCAGCATAATTATTGACTTCTGATTTTATTGCGTTCTCCTCACAAGTACTCAATCGACTGAGAATAAATGAACGTATTAGTCCACAAAAATTTAATTGTCAGTAGATAAAATTTGATATACTATTTCATTAACATTAACAATCTGAAAGATAAGACACAAACACATTGAGTCTTTTCTATACGATACATATTATACATTTTTCATCATCATCATTAATTTCTAATGTGATCAGAGCTTTTAATAAAGTCCACGTGCGCATAGCTGTAACGGTTTTATTTTTTAAATTTTTACCGCCTTTTTTTCATGGATCAAAAAAATTCAAATTCAAAATTTTTTTTTGAAAATCCGTTGACGATTAATAAACAGTTTGTTATTAAAATTAATAGAGTTTCCTTATTTAATTAAATTTCTGTATGAAGGAGAAGATATATTTGAAAGAATATAATTAGAATTTCATGTTAAGGAAATAGGAGGCCCGCAACTCGAGAAAATAATTTTGACACGAAGGGAATGTAAAAACAAAGTTCCACGTAGAAGATTCAATAATTCAAAAAAATTTTATTAAAATAAAAGTACTTTGTGGCAGTTTAATTACATATAAATTATGTTAAATTGTGTATCCAAGAAGGAGAATTAAGAAGAAATCAAAGTTTTAATAAAAGGTAGTAGGGAAAAGTGGAAAATCAGTGATTTATTTGTGTATCATCGAATATTCTTGGAAAAATTATTTTGAAGGAACTAGTTCTGTATAAATCTACACCTTATTCCTAATATTCTATCACATTGATTACGACCTTGAATGCTTAAATCTCATGATAAGCATGAATTCACTTAATTTCCAAAATCTCAAAGTGTATTTGAACATTTATGAATAAAGGAACTATTTGGATATTCGTGTCAACCTTCGATCTTTTTGACAGAAAATTTTTTTTTAATGTGGGTCATTAACAGTAGAAATGAGTAGAAAAAAGCTATGCATAGGCTACATAGAAGATTGTAAGATCAAGTGGAATGTTACGATATGATCCGTAATACGTTATTTTTATGAAGGTCGATTGGCTAATGTTCGTCTGCGCTGAACATTTCACTTAGCAAATTCAATTTTTTTTTCATTGTTCGATTCAGTGAATAATTGCTATGTTTGAGCATTTCTTTCCACAAAATAATCTCAATGCCAATGGAATTAATGCGAATGTGACTATTTCTCTTTTAGTTGATCAATCAAATAATGGCTCAACAACCTCCTCAAAATTATGGATATATGCAGCAACCAATACCAATTCCACAAAATGGACAGCACAATAATCAAGGATTAGTAAATGGAGGATATCAACAAATGAATCTTCCACCAAATATGAATCCAGTAAATCCATTGAAGCCACCATTAACGATGCCAGGTCAGCAACAAGTTCCTAATATTACAACTAGTAATGTGCCATTAATACAGGCACCAACAAGCATAAATTATCAAAATTTTCAAACAAATGCTCTTTATGCTGGTGTTAATGGAAGTAATAGTGCATTATCGTCAAGAACTTCTTCTCCTGGAATTCAACAACAAAATTTAGCACCAAATGCGGCGATTCCAACATCCCAACTGCCGCCATCAAAAAGTTATCCTAGTTATCAACATTTACCTGGTCAGCAGCAAATGCAATCGCCTGTTTCTATGCCGCCACCATTAATGAATCCTCAACAACAGCAGTCATCTAGTCAGTTTCCAATGACTCCTTTAAGTACTAACAATAGTAATGTTAATAACAATAATGTGAGCGAAGCTAGTAATAACACACAAATGCCGACTAATATAAATCCTGGTCCTACTTTAATGCCATCATCACAACTATCTGGTCCACCACATTTAAGCGCGAGTATGGCAAATCTCACAATAAATAGCTCAGTTCCAAATTTTCCAACACAAATGCCTTCATCAAAAAGTGATCAGAATCTTTTAAATAATAATAATTTACAAACAAAACAATTGCAAAAAAGGCCAATGTATCCTCAGCAGCAGCAAAATCCATCTATGCAACCAATGAATCCATCTTTGCAACCAATGAATCCATCTATGGCAGTGCCCCAACAACCTCAACAGTTTCAAGCAATGAGTCCACAACAACCATTCAATAACTTTCCTGGACCTCAACAGAATGTTCAGCAGCAGCCCCAACAAGCTAGAGAAAATCTTCAATACCAAAACTTTCAGCAACAACCTCAGCCAAATCAATTTCCTGGCTCAGTTGTCAATCAAGGTTTCAATAAAATGTGGGGAAGAGAAACTATTGATTTGATGCAAAATCGTCATGTTTTGCCAACAACGAAAGTCGTTTCTCCACCAGTCAAATTAAATCATCAATTTCATGAAGCCACAAATTGCAATCCAGACATTTTTAGGTGTACATTAACGAAAATTCCCGAATCGAATTCATTACTTCAAAAGTCTAGATTGCCACTTGGAGTTCTCATTCATCCTTATCGAGATTTAAGTGTAAGTGATAGACTAAGATAGTCCAATTAGGAATAGACATGCTGATATGAACTTTACACACGAATTTTTTTTTTGTCGACTTTAGAATCTCCCCGTTATCAGTTGTTCAACAATTGTAAGATGTAGGGTTTGTCGCACGTATATCAATCCATTCGTCTTTTTCGTAGATAGCAAAAAGTGGAAGTGCAATTTGTGCTATCGAATTAATGAATGTAAGATATTGATAAGATTTCAAAGAAGGCATTTCATTCAGGAATTTAATTAATGTTTGCTTCTTATTCATTCAATCAATTATAGTACCTGATGAATTTCAATATGATCCAGTTAGTAAAACATACGGTGATCCAACAAGGAGGCCTGAAATTCGATCAAGTACAATTGAATTTATTGCACCATCCGAATATATGCTAAGGCCTCCACAGCCAGCAGTTTATCTGTTTTTACTTGACGTTTCATCATTAGCTCAACAAAGTGGATATCTGGATATTGCATGTCAAACAATTCAGGAGCAACTTGATAATTTGCCAGGAGATGCACGAGCTCAAGTTGGGTTCATAGCATTTAATAGTGCTGTTCATTTTTATAATATCGCTGAAAACTTTAATCAACCACATGAAATTACAGTACTCGAAGTTGACGGTAAATATTATTTGGCCATGAAAAACATATTTCATTTCTGTTTATTCATCTGCATGCTTTAAACTCAAAACTGACTAATTTTTTCTTATCAATTTTTTTAGATGTCTTTCTTCCCTGTCCCGACAATTTACTCATAAACTTGAAAGAGTGTCGAGAGCTTATCAATGACCTTCTTCAACAGCTCCCAAAAAGATTTGCTAACGAGCATGATAATAAAAGTGCACTAGGTGCAGCTCTTCAAGCTGCCTTAAAATTAATGGTACTATTATTTTTAACGAAAATTATTATTTATGTTAATCCTTTTCTTTTGTGTAGAATGCAACGGGCGGTAGAGTAACAGTTTTTCAAACTTGTTTGCCTAATCACGGTCCTGGAGCTTTACAATCGCGGTAAGCTATATTATCCATAGTTCTTAATTTGAAATTAATGAACCACAAATTTTGAATTTCATAATGAAAACCTTACAATTCAATCATTTTAAACATTTGTATTGCTTTGAAATTTGAATTTTTCAATAACTTTAAATTCAAATGTTTTAACGGAAGTTAATTTCAACATTGAAGAATTCACGCAATTCATTACCTATGTTGCATAATTTGACACAGTTTAATTTCAAAACATTTGGTTACGAACTCAAAAATAAATGTTGAAACAGATTTTGCAAAAAGCTTTGAATAATAATTGCACAAAAAAATGTGATACTTTTAGCGAGGATCCAAACAATAGATCATCAAAAGACGTTCAGCATTTAGGACCTGCAACAGATTTCTATAAACGTTTAGCACTTGATTGTTCTGGTCAGCAAATAGCTGTTGATCTATTTCTTCTTAATAGTCAATACAGTGATTTATCGACTTTGTGTAAGTGACTTTATTAAGAACTGTAAAACAAAACTTTAAGTAATTAATTAATCTGTTTCTGTTTAGCTGGAATAAGTAAATTTAGTGGCGGGAGCATACATCATTTCCCGTTATTCAATATCAATAAGCCACAACAAGTGACCGAATTTCAACGAGATCTTACTCGATACTTGACACGCAAAATTGGATTTGAATCAGTAATGCGCGTAAGATGTACTCGCGGTCTTAGTATTCACACATTCCATGGCAACTTCTTCGTACGCTCAACTGATTTACTCTCATTGCCAAATGTTAATCCTGATGCAGGTTTTGCAATGCAAATTACATACGAAGAGAGTTTGGCTGATGTGAAGACAGTTTGCTTCCAAGCAGCACTTTTGTATACAAGTAGCAAGGCGGAGAGAAGAATACGAGTGCATACATTATGTTTGCCTGTAACGGAAAGCTTAACAGAAGTGATGCATTCTGCTGACCAACAATGTATCGTTGGATTATTGGCAAAAATGGCCGTTGACAGATCATTGAGTTCGAATTTAAGTGATGCTCGAGATGCCTTTATAAATGCAACAGTCGATGTTTTTAGTGCATTTAAACTTGCACAAAATCTACCATCGGGAGCAAGTGGATTAATTGCACCTCAAAATCTATCACTATTTCCACTGTATATTTTAGCACTTCTAAAACAGGTAATTTTTGCAAGCCATACTCATTTAGCATACAATTAAATATCTATTAATATAATTTAAAGGTGGCCTTTAGAACTGGAACCAGCACGCGATTGGATGATCGTGTATTTGCTATGTGTCAAATGAAAAGCTTACCGCTTGATCAACTCATTCGATATATTTATCCAGATTTCTTCTTGCTAGATTCATTATTTTCGGATGATACTGATAAAACGGATCCACCAAGATTACAATTAACTGCTGAAAGGTAGCCCTTCTTCTTCATACCATAGGCATTGAATTAGATAATAATCTCAAAATGTTTTCCCTTCTAGACTTGACTCACGTTCGATGTTCTTATTGGATAATGGTGTAAATATGTTTGTTTACGTTGGTTCGAATGCTAATCCTAGTATAATAAAGAATGTTTTCGGTAAGATTTTCGTCATAATAATAAAAATAATTTAGAGTGTCGATTATGACCATAAAATTATGCTTCTTATTATTCTATAGGTAAAAACACGGTAAATGAAATACCCGATGTCTGCTACAATTTACCAAATCTTGAGACTCCATCCAACGAAGCACTTCATGATTTCATTAATACATTAAATGAAGAGAAGCCATTCAATCCAACCATACAAATCATCAGGTATGTTGAAAAATATACAATAACGTGATTTGAGATTCACACGATTTTTTTTTCCTTATTACAGAGATACAAGTCCGTGTAGAAGTCTTATCGTACAATACTTTGTTGATGACCGTAATGAGAATAGTCTGAGCTATTATGAGTTTTTGCAGCATCTGCGAACACAAGTGAAATAATTTTGTGTGTGTGTGTATGTGTGTTTGTGTAAATACAATAATAATGATAATTGTTATTACTAGTACATATTATATAAAAATTAATCGTTATCAAATACGTGACGAAAAAAGGAAGAAAAAAAAAATTCGTAAAGGAATCTTCGCTTCTTTTTTACATACCTACATAATATTATATGAGAAGAAAAAAAAAAAAATTGCATAAAATACATTTAATTTCCTTACTTTTTTCGGTGATTTTAATTTATGTTACTGTCCATAATCGATTATTTAATAGCAATGAAACGTTTATAAAACATTTCTTTAATATTATTAATTAGTTCTTCTTTATTTCGGAACGAAATTGAGAGAAAGGTAAATGACATAAGAGAATGAAAAGTCAATTGAACGAAGAAGTCATTTTCTTGATTGCAAATCAATAAAAATTTGTGTGAAAGTAATGAAAAGGTTCATAAATTATGTCATTAATGCGGAATCTATTGGAAAAGTTACTATTTCTCGACCTTTTTCCTCAACCTACCTTTTTCGCTTTTGATCAAAGAAATAATTTTTAATTGGTTTTGCAAACAAACTTACTTTAGCATTTTGTCATTATGTATGATGATTTTGATGAAAAAGTTTGCTCGACTGAGAAGCTTTAAGTCATGCAAGGTTCATTCACAAATAGTTGAGTGAAGATTTTCAAACTTGTTCTTACAAAAACTTACCTACGATTTAGGAATGTTCAAGGTAAATCCCTTGATTTTTAGTCTTGATTTTAACTACCCATAACCAAACTAACATCACAACAAAAAATATACAGGAAGCTTAGAAAGGAAGGCAATATGAACAACAAAGAATTTACTCTACAAATATTTTAAATGAATTGTAATTAAATTCATCAGTAAACAACTCGACTTGATATTTTTGCCTAGATTTAAATTGCAATTAAATTTATACAATCCAAGATAAAAATGCATTCTCATAGAACTGAAGAGGAATGCTAGAAATATGTAAGCAAAATTTTTGCTACTTTTCATTCTCCTCTCATTTATAAGCACTTAATATGTAAGGATCTATATTAATGCATATGAGCAAACTGCAAGTAAAGCATGTGAATGTCAGAATGATATAATGAAGAGAATTATGAGGCACTTCTGCTTTCTCCATAAACGAGTCAAGATATAATATAGTTTATGCCATTTTATGCTTTTTAAATGCTGACTAATGGAAAATGTTCTTTACAATTAAAATCACACTCTTGCGGTGAATACGGTAGCAAGGAAATTACAGTAAAAAAATGGGAGTGCGATGCGGGAGAAAAATTAAGCACGGTTGGAAAAAAAAATCATTTTAATAAAAAGTTCATTTAATTGATCGACATTAAATTGAGGTTGGGTAATGGAAAAAGGGAAGAAGAAAGTCTCGCAAAAAAAAGTATGATTGATGATGTGTAAACACATTAATGCCGAGTAAATAACAAGACACAGAAATACAATTTTATGCTATGTTTTGAATATTTTTTATCCGAAAAACTTTGGACAGAGCTTTTAAATCAGCACAAATCCTTTGCTGATTGGAATCCAGTATAAGTAAGACGTCAAAAAAATGCAATGTGACCAATTTCATAGTGACATAATTTATGAACTTTTATTAGCAAGCGAAGCGGCATGAGGTAATTTTTCATTTCCTTGATGACGTGTGCATGTTTGTTTCTGCTCGTTTTGTATGTTTGCAAGTCAATTGGAAATAGAAAAAATAGTTTGAAAATCACATGAAAGGAATGAAAATAAGTTAAAAGGAAAAAAAGTCACATTTACTTTATAAGCATTAATATCAAGATGACATTATAAGAAAATGGAATTTATCTTGTAATTTATCACGATGACATACATTACTTAATTAAAGAGAAATGATTGAATGGAAAAATTGCATACATACAGCATTAAAAGCTTCGTTAGATCAATTGAGTTAATGGATGCTACTGAGAAGATCTACACTAAATTGATGTCAATCATTTGATAAAGGAACTCAGAAGTCGTTAGCAATTGAGAATTTTTTTTTTCAATTTTTAATAGACGTTATTTGTGAATGACTTCTGAGTTCCTTTAGTTTCAACTTTATGTAATTCATTTTAAATATTTGCAAGCAATAATTCCAAATTTTTAATTATATAACATTTTATGAATTTTAATCTCTAAATATATTGTCCTAAAATTTTTCATTCCTTTCCCTTTTATTATTTCTGCTACTTATGCATAATAAACGAAGAAAAAGTTTTTCTCCCTTAAAAATTCCAAAATCTCCTTTTTATATAAAAAAAAAGAGAAAAAATTAAAAACAAGAAGGAATTGCGATAAAAACCTACTTGTTGCTGCATTCGAAAAGGATGGATCAAGAAAAAAAAAAATCTGTGAAACATATTCTGTACATGCTTTCCTCTTGTTTTTCTTTTTTTTTGCATCATTCATGCTTTTGTTCTATGTTTGACATTTAAAGCAGAATCAAAACATTTAAATTTGATTGAATTGAGACTTAGAAAAAACCAATATATTATTGAGTAAAATGAAACCTTTTTTTTAAAAGCTGTTGTTAAAAAAGGGTTGTTCTCAAAGGATGTACATTAAATTTCAAGTTTGCAGATTCCTTCTGCATTCTACCAACTATTATTCATATTTAAAACTAATCTAGTTCGTGGACCACAAACCACTTGTCAAATTTTCATGTTAATCATCACAAGAGAGCGATCCTTGTTGGATACTAAACGAAATTTCCCTTTTTTATAATTCACATTCTTTCATATTTGAAGCTTTTGAAGTGGTAATGAGATGAAATTGTTTGATGCTTGCTTGAGGAATGAGTGAAATTGAAATAAGAAGGATATAAAAATAAGCATAAAATATAGTCGACAAAGAAATTAAATAAAACATCGGAATTATGTAATTATGTAGTGGAATAACGAAACTTTGTATAAAACACTTTTGGATAGATATTCTTCGGTAATATCCAAAACATTTTTTTTGTTGAAATAAAACAGGAAAATAAAGTAAAATTGGAAAAAGTTGTATAAAAATAGTTTTTAATCATTTTACAGTAAATATATCGATAATAATTTATTGATAGGTTCATGGTTCTTTACAGTATTTATCAAATATCATTATTTGGCTTGAAGATTCAAACTTTATTTTGATTTCTCAAACTTTATTTTAAAAGAACTTGACATCCGTAGATACCAACAGAGCAACTCAATAAAAAGCGTGTAGAAAAGTATTAAGAGGATGTAAGTTTTTAAATAGATTACTCATTAATCCTTTCTCACAAAAATGTCACAGATATCAATAGACCACGCAAAAGCGTGTAAGTTATTAGTTTCACAAAAAATAAATTTTTTTATCATATTCACACAAAATTTTCAATTTTTGCAAATATATAACGGAATGAAAAACTCATTTTCAAATTTATTTTATCCTGAATATGTAGAAAAAATATTGAATTAATTTTGTCCAAATTTTAACAACTCTAAGTGCTGAAAAAAATTGGGCAGGACAGTTTAGCGTTTTCTTCTTTTAAAGGCATAAAAATGAATATAAACAAATAAAAAAAATACCTTCATTTTTGGTTGAAGTCCTCATTGTCTTTCAAATGTATTGACTCAGCGATTTCTTCTCATCCTTTTGCACTAAACTCTTATTCACAGATTGATGATCAACTCATGGAAGGATTGGCAATGAACAGACACGTTGCTGCTTCAATTTAATGCTGATCCAGATCAAAATTATGCTACATCATCATCAAGTCAGTAAAAGGAATGTTTACGTGTTCAAATATTTTTAACTTGTTGCTGCGATAATTCCTCATTTTTGTTTTGGATATTCATTATTCTTCAGGTTTTAAATGCTATGTTGGTAAATTTTTTAAAATTATTTTATCATTATTTATATTTTCTATTTGATGCTTGCCAGAACTTGGAACTGGAGAAGCTTCTTGCTTAATTACTGTCTCAGCTGCTTTTAATTGCTGACGTATTAGAATTCCCTTATCCTGAAAATACAGAAAGAATAAAGAATTAATTTTGTCCAAATTTTAAGTACTCTAAGTGCTGAAAAAAAATTTGGCAGGACGGTGGAGCGTTTTCTTCTTTTAAACGCATAAAAATGAATATAAACAAATAAAAAAAAATACCTTCATTTTTGGTTGAAGTCCTCGTTGTTTTTCAAAGGTATTGACTCAGCGATTTCTTCTCATCCTTTTGCACCAAACTCTTATTCACAGATTGATGATCAACTCATGGAAGGATTGGCAATGAACAGACACGTTGCTGCTTCAATTTAATGCTGATCCAGATCAAAATTATGCTACATCATCATCAAGTCAGTAAAAGGAATGTTTACGTGTTCAAATATTTTTAACTTGTTGCTGCGATAATTCCTCATTTTTGTTTTGGATATTCATTATTCTTCAGGTTTTAAATGCTATGTTGGTAAATTTTTTAAAATTATTTTATCATTATTTATATTTTCTATTTGATGCTTGCCAGAACTTGGAACTGGAGAAGCTTCTTGCTTAATTACTGTCTCAGCTGCTTTTAATTGCTGACGTATTAGAATTCCCTTATCCTGAAAATACAGAAAGAATAAAGAATTAATTTTGTCCAAATTTTAAGTACTCTAAGTGCTGAAAAAAAATTTGGCAGGACGGTGGAGCGTTTTCTTCTTTTAAACGCATAAAAATGAATATAAACAAATAAAAAAAAATACCTTCATTTTTGGTTGAAGTCCTCGTTGTCTTTCAAATGTATTGACTCAGCGATTTCTTCTCATCCTTTTGCACCAAACTCTTATTCACAGATTGATGATCAACTCATGGAAGTATTGGCAATGAACAGACACGTTGCTGCTTCAATTTAATGCTGATCCAGATAAAAATTATGCTACATCATCATCAAGTCAGTAAAAGATATGTTTACGTGTTCAAATATTTTTAACTTGTTGCTGCGATAATTCCTCATTTTTGTTTTGGATATTCATTATTCTTCAGGTTTTAAATGCTAGGTTGGTAAATTTTTTAAAATTATTTTATCATTATTTATATTTGCTATTTGATGCTTGCCAGAACTTGGAACTGGAGATGCTTCTTGCTTAGTTTTTTTCTCAGTTGCTTTTAATTGCTGACGTCTTAGAATTCCCTTATCCTGAAAATACAGAAAGAATAAAGAATTAATTTTGTCCAAATTTTAAGTACTCTAAGTGCTGAAAAAAAATTTGGCAGGACGGTGGAGCGTTTTCTTCTTTTAAACGCATAAAAATGAATATAAACAAATAAAAAAAAATACCTTCATTTTTGGTTGAAGTCCTCGTTGTCTTTCAAATGTATTGACT